AGAGAAATGAATCCTGAGAGAGAGAGAACGAAGAGAGAGAATGAGAGAATGAGAGAACTTGTTCAAGAGAGAGAAATGAACCTTTCGAGAGAGAGAGAGAAGAATGAGAGAGAGAGAGAGAAAGAGAGAGAACGAAAGAGAAAGAGAGAGAATGAGAATTACGAGAGAGAGAGAAGAACGAACGAGAGAGAGAGAGAATAAAAGAGAGAAGAGAATCTAGAACAAATCAACCCGAACCAATGAGAGAGAGAGAGAAGAGAGAGAGAGAGAGAGAACGAATAGAGAGAGAGAACGAGAAAAGAGAGAATTAGAGAGAGAGAGAGAGAAATCACGAGAGAGAGAGAGAGAGAATGAAAGAGAGAACGAGAGAGAGAGAGAGAGAAAGAGAGAGAGAGAGAGAGAAATCTTGCATCTAGAGAGAGAGAGAGAGAACTACTAACTAGAGAGAGAGAGAGAAATAACCCAGAGAGAGAGAGAAGAACGAACGTAGAGAGAGAGAGAGAGAGAAACGAGAGAGAGAGAGAGAATAATCACAATGAGAGAGAACGGAGAGAACTAAGAGAAAGAATGAGAGAGAGAGAGAGAAAATAAAAAAAACAAACGAGAGAGAGAGAAACAAATTTCGAGAAAGAGACAACACTAGAGAGAGAGAGATATAGAGAAAAATGTTCACTCACTCTCAATTTCTTTCTCACGAGATATCTAACGAATAACAGAACGAACAAACGAGAGAGAGAGAGAGAGATAGATAGATAGATAGATAGATAGAGATAGAGATAGAGAGATAGAGATCCTGAATTCATTTCTTACCTTTATTCCACTAATTGCTGTGCGTAAAAGATGCATATAGGATTTATATTTCACATGCAGAATCTTGGAATGATTCCTTAGCAGTTTGGCAATGTCCTCTCCGGCATCAAACGTAACGTTTTCCAATAGATTAATAGTTGACTGCAACATACCAGAGACATTGAATGGTGCTGACACAAGGTCATGGGTGGAGTCAACAGATGGAGCTGCCCACAAGAATTCAAATTCAGGTAATAACAAATCATCCAACTTTGAGATTCTGGTCTGAAGATAAAAAATAAAGAAAAGCATTATACATTATTTCTCCAAGACTCATTGCCTAACCCCAGAACCCATCATTTCTTATTTAACCCATAGTGGGGAAACAACTTAGAGAGAATTTGCATGCCCTATCCACACAACAGACATCTCCTTATTGCCTAACTTGGAGTTGGTAGGTTTACCCGTCATCATGACACCAGGATAATGTGCCATAACCACTCTATGTTAAAGCAGAGACAGAAAAGATAAGGTCCAGAGTCGAAATTTTATCTGTACAATATCATGACAATATTCAAGAACTGCATGTGTGTCACCGTAAGACGCTGGAAGGATTAAGAGAGAGTTTTTCTTCCATGAATAAAGCCTCAGGGAGAAAGTAGGGCTGACTTGAAGTAAAATGACTTATTTTGGGGAAAAATTTAGCCAAAAAGGCCATTTGGACAATTTAAACCTACGACGGGTGGGGAGAGATGGCATAGGAACATTCAAGGCCACCCGAGAATTCTGTTAAACAGGGCAGAAAAGAAGACATTGATTTGTGACTGCTTACTAAAGTGCGGATTGTGGAAGGTCTCCTGAAAACCATAGGCATACAAGGGAATCAATGGGAAGATAATATTTTTAAGGTTTTGAGGAACAAAAGCAAAGTTTATTCCTCTGTCCACCTTGGTATTTCACCTGAGCCCTTCACCTCTGTTGTCATTTTGACACTATTTTTAAAACTCATAGGTGAACAGGCATGGCTTATCTCCAAATTATTCATTTTAATTATCACTCAAAATTTTCTTCAACAGATTTCCTCGACCCAACATCGTTCCCCCAGTCTGACATTCACCAGCTGTGTTCCCTTGACAGCCTTCTTAGCATGTTTTGACTTGTGACCCATTTCTTTAGTGATCCATGCTTTTCCATCTTTTCTGACAAGTGAAATAAATCAATTGTCTTAACTTTGCCTTGGGTAGTATTGGTATGAGGTACCAATATGAGAAGGAAGGAGTTAGGGTGGATTGATATTCTACTACTACTACTACTACTACTACTACTCTCAAATTGGACATGCAATTAATTATCTGGAGTCAAACAACAAAGGATTTTTTGTGGGGCTTTTAGAGGAATTACTGAAAACTCCAGGCTCAGCTTGAACTCTATGCTGGTTTTGGGCAAGGGTCCATATAAGCAGATCAAAGCTATCGAGACAGTAGCCGCTTGAATTGCTGTTGGTGACAAGAGACGACCGCTTCAACCAATCTCACGTGACTTGCTGCACGAAGAAAACCTCTGACTTAAGTCTTGTTCCAGAAGCTTTATTTCAAACTCAGTCACATCAAGAAAAGCATCATGTTGATACATAAGTGGGGAATGGTTGATAATTCTGCATGAGGAATTTATTTTCTGCATATATATTCCTGCCTTAAGAATTGATAATTGTAATACCAGCTCTGTACGAAGAACGTTATATAAAAACATTTTCTTTTTTCATACATTTTTTTTTTACTTTTGACTTCATTGCCCTGACCAAACCAATACGATTCCTGTCAACAATTCGATCCTTGGCAGCAAAATCAAACAATATCAGACAAGTAGGGAAGGAAAGAAAAATTCTCTTCAGATCAAGTTTAAACATTCAGAAATACAAAGTGTGGTAGAAATACCTCGCACATAATGGTAAAGACAGTGGTAGTGATGTCTTCATTTAGCTAATGTCCTATCATTATGTGGGAGGTTTTTCTGTCATACCCTGTATAACAGACACTCGAGGAAGCCATAAAATTACAATCGCTGAAATCTTGATAAAAAAAATGAGTAAGTCCAAAGAAACCAATATACAATCTTTGGCGAATAAGCAAATGTATTTATCACACTTTGAGGTGGGGGGGGAAGGTGCAAAATTTTATCTCAATTCCAAGAGTTTGCATTTTATGGCTGGCAGATAGCTTTTCAAGCCAAGTCTTCCAAGTAGAATCCACAAGACCAAAAGGAAACTAATAATTAAAAGAAATCTTTTGGAGTCAAGTGACAACAAAGCTGGACATTGCTGGTTTCCAGTTGCTTGTCTAAATTAGAGGAGGAGGCACAACAGAGTAGTGGATAGCAGCTCATTTTGAGGAATTGGAGAGCCAAGTTCAAAGTCAAAAGTTTGATCCATTACATTCACACGTACTAATACTCTTAAAAAGGTATGGAGCCTCTTCTCTCTCCACCAATGGGTAAATAGCAGAACAGACTGTTCTATAGCCTTGAGTGGCAGCTGGTCTAGGAGAAGGAAACTGAATTCAAAAACTGCATGAAGCATAGCACATACTATACAGCTAAGGAAAGGATCATTTGCATTGGTTTGATGCTCCCAATTACGGTTGACCTAGATAGATGGATGGATGGATGTCTACATTAGCAGTCACAGAGGAGATTCAAAGTCAGTTCTGGTCTGCCTTTGGCAGGGGACAGACTGTCCTTCATGTAGTTCCTATGCTGCCCATTCCTATTTCCAGCCAGGCGTTGTGATGTTGAGATGGGCAGAGAGTAGAAGAAAGTCTCAAACATGACAGAAGTTGTCCCAAGTGTAACCTACCTACTCAACTAGTCCGCAGCAAAAGGGAAGCTTTTGAAATAAAAACGCTTTAATATATTGGAAATGGTTCATGTTCTCATGGTCAACATTAATTTTTTTTGTCTTTCATTTCCTTGTGAATGTGCAGCAGGCCTTTCCCAGTTTCTGCTGCACACTGGAACAAGAATAGAAATGCAACATGGGACAGTCGTTGGTTAGTCAGTAAAAAGCTGGGGGGGGGGTCCTGTTGTATGTTTACATACTTAAATTTGACTAAATTTTAAACTCTTCAGCTTCTGATGTTGGTGTGGCTTAAACAAAAAACAAAACAAAAACATCCATTAAACCAAAAAAAGAATTATTAAATACATTATTTTATACTTTATTCACCAATTCTAATAGTTTTCTTTTCCATTTCTCTGATCTAAACACAAGAAATATAAGCAATCCAAGTGCCAGTCAAAATCTTAAAGTTTTGCTTTAAATTGCGTTCTATGCCATATTTAAATCTTCCAGATTGATTTACAAAAGGAAAAATTTATTTAATATCATAACAAAACTGAAGCCTGTTAAAGAAAGTGGTTAAAAGAGAATGTAAAAATCTCACCTTAGCCCAGTCGAGCACATCTTGTAAGTAATTCCCTTTCAGATATTTTGCTTCAGGATTATCAATCAATCTGGAGGGGAAAAAAATCCCATTATCTAGCAGTTGTTTTCAAAATACAGAGGAGATAAAAATTTGCATAAGTGTTCAATGTAAAAAAAAAAAAAAATTTTTTTACTTGAAATAAAACTGAAGTTGTCAGAACATTTAATTTTTTTTTTTTTTTTTTTTTTTTTTTTAAAAACTGTCAACTGCCTTTTCTTCTTCAATAAGAAGATCAATAGTAACAACCATTATATTTTCCAATGTATTAAACAGTGAAATAAATAACAATTTGAGATGTCCTATTAAAGAAACATTCAACCTCCAACAAGAATTGAACCTGCATCCCTTTTTTTCCTCTCAGGGAAACTACTTCCAATTATTATTTCAGTATCTGTCTATATTTTTGAGATGAGGTATTATGTACATTATTCGGACTATTGTCCTCATCTTTGTTGCCATATTTATTACAACGTTTTGGCCGTTGTATGCTCCAGCCCCAGTGAGCAAAATAAAGGGTTAAGTTCAGCATTCCAACCACCTGAAGAAGGCCAGAGCATACAACGGCTGAAACGTTGTAATAAATATGGCAACAAAGATGAGGACAATAGTCCGAATAATGTAAATAATGTCCAATTATTACTTATTATTGTTTGAGTTCAAACTTGCGTACCCATTAAAAAAAATTACGTTTATAGTAATAAGAAAAATTTCCAAATGAAAATAAAAAGAATTTAAGAATAATCTCAAATTTACTATTTTATTCTAATTTTTTTTTTTTATTGGAGTTTTCTTTATCTTTGCAGATTGCCATTATCATTTCCGCACTTTCTGGGGATATTTCCAGACAAATTTGTCTTTAATGTTTTCTTGTTTAACAGTGTAAAGAAAAACAAAATTCCAAATAAAAATATCTTGAAATGAAGATTTCAGCCATGTCCTCTCAAATTCATTTTTTTTTCCCCTTTTCACTGAAAGAAATTCATTAAACATTCAAATTGCCTTTTCAGTTTTACAACATCTGACCCATTTATACCGGTTGTAGATATGAACGATATCAAAGTCTTAAAAAAATAAAAAAGTTCCGACTCACTTTTCTCCATATTTCTGGATTAAAAGCAAGCGAGCTTCTTCCAGAAGAAGATGTCGTTGAGGACCTTCCAACTTCTGAACCAGAAATTCTTGATTGAAACTATCAATGTGCATCAATTCCAAGCGCCCAGGAGTTTTCTTTAATTTCGAGAGAGAAAACTGCAGACAAAATTTTAAGAATGATATTTAAGTCACTTCATTTAGACAAATTCTTCAGAATGCAGAGGAAAGGTTTACACAAAAAAAAAAAAAAAAAGATTTTTTTTTTGACAAAATGAAATAGCAGAAATGATTAAAATGAAAATATTCTGCTTTTTTTTTTTTTCATCTTTGTGTAGAATTGTCAGCGTCTATACATTTGATTAGCTTCTTATAATTTATTTTAAAACCTATTCTATTAAGAGTCATACTTTTTGAAAGAAAGCCCTGCAAATTTTTAGTGTATTTGTCATATTTAGAAGTTTCAGTTGTGACATGTTTTAACACCGAGAACAAGACAAAAACATTGTTTTTTTTTTTTTCATTTTTAAAAATTGTAGTCTATCTTTTTATAAATTCATATACAAATCATTAGAATCAAACAATAGATAGGTAAAAAAAAAAAAAAAAAAAAAATATACTTTTCTGAAAATTTTTTTTTGATAAAGATTCTACAGGCTGTCAGAGATCATCACATGTCAAGTGGCCCTAGCATGTTGTAGATCTCATAGTACCACATGGAGGGTACTTCAAGAGCAACTTCTGTATCCCTATCATTTCCAGTGTAGGCAGGGTTTTTTGCCCTCTGATCACTCACCATTGGGAAGCTTTTGCCGAGGGTGTATTGCACAAACTGCTGATCTGTTGTTTGTTTGTCCCTTCAGTCCTGTTTAGAGATGAGGCAACATTTGGAAGAGATGGAATAACAAATTTACACAACCAACATCTGTGGTTAGATCAGAATTCCCATGTTACAATACAGCATCAGTTTATGATTAATGTGTGGGCTGGAATCGTAAGCGACTGACTGGTAGGTCCATATATTCTCCCAGCACATCTTACAGGAGATGTCTACAGGGACTTTATTTCAAACACTTTCAGACCTGCTAGAGGATGTACCTCTGCTAATATGAAGACATGTGATTTATGCATGATGGGGTGACAACACATTTTAATCACATTGTAAACAATGTATGATGCTCTACTTTTATTTTTTTTTTTACAAATATTTCAAACATTTTCTTTTTCAATGCACTTAATCCAAGACAAAAAATTTACTCGTCAGGTGACTGACTAGTTGATCTGCCCTTATCAGGTGAAAATAATTTAGGAACTGTTTATTATAGCGTCTGCTTTTCTGAATGGTTATCATTTCAGCTTTTGAAAAAAAATTTCAACTTTCCAAGAGTTTTACGCCTTTTCTACTTTCATTGAATAACAATTTTCCCATGAAAAATGAATTCTTAATACATCCATGGATAGCAAATTATCAAAAAGTCAACTTTGACAGTGTTTTCACACACTACAAATATGCATGCATATATATATATATATTACTCAACTCTCCCGTTGAATTTGACGTATGAGGGTCAAGCAGGTCAGTTCCTAGGAAACCGACAGCCCAACAACAGCACATGAGATTTGATTATAGTGGTGAAGGTTTCGTGCAAGACCATCCACACTTTTTGAAGGGCCGAATACAGAAACCTGGTGCACTACGTGCCACAAGGTTCCTAAACAACCCTTTGCAGGTTTTGAATTCAGAGTTTTCCTTCTCCTAGACCAGTTGCTATCCAAGGCTATAGAACCCAGTCTGTCCTGCTATTTAACCCATAGCTGGAGGAGAAGAAGAGGAGTCATATCTTTCCCAAGGGTATTAACACGTAAGTGAATGTAATGGATTCGACTGGAATTTGCTCTCTGATTCCTCAATCCATTACTCCACCGTACCTCCGTGCACACACACACACACATATATATATATATATATATAAAAAGGACCAAAATTCCAACAATTGAAAGTGAAGCTAATCTAAGTTCAATCAAGTAGATCTGGAGTCAGAGAGACGTAGTAAAATTTTGTGATTTTTTTTTTTACCTTTTCAATTAAATCTGTGAGTGTCATTCCAGCCGTTTGATCTGTGCCAAATCCACCACCAACATGACAGATAAAACTGAGAATGCTTTCTGGATAATAACCTTTATTCTGATTTAAGAAAGAAAAAAAAGAAATTTTAATAAAAGATTATCTTGGTAGTATACAATAATTAAGAAATTAAATTATTGGGTTTATTGGAAACAAAATTCTCAAATTTCATGAAGCAATCACCATCATGACTTTGTTGTAGAATTTTAATTCACTTTTACTATTTTAGGCTGTTTGCTTAACAAATCAAGTGTTTAGTTTTACGTCAGAGGTTCAATCAATTATCGATTGGACCCTACACCAGTGAATTTTGAAATTTTCCCATATTTTACCTTGATATATGCTTCTAACAAACCTTCAACCATTTTGGCCATGTTATTCTAAGTTGAGATAACAAAAGAAGTCTTTAAGGATTGAAACCCACAAATTTATGTCTTCAGCACTAGACACCATGAAATTTGAGAATGTTTTTATTTCTTCCTACTGTATCCCACAGTAGACCTCCAAAAAGTCCTTGCCCATTATCATTACATTATTTTTTTGGCAGAGTTATAAAAAGAAAAGAAAAATTTTTTTGGGACTTGTATTTTTTTTTTAATTATTTTTATTTATTTGCCTTAACCACCGAGTAACTTTTTGTTTTTTGGTCAAGTTATATCCCCCCTGAAAATGACATTTCAACCAATAAATAGTGGGGTGGTCACTGAATGAATGTAGCCAACGGAAACGTTTGCAGTTAGATGATCTAAAAAATTTTCTTAAAATTAAACTTGGAAACTTACCTTGAAATATTCTACATGTAAGTCACCTTGTCGTTTTGATAATTTGGCACCATCTCTAAGGAAAAAAAAAAGAAGACAATCAACTCTGGAGAAGGTTCCTAGCATTTTACAGACAATTCTTAAAACCTCCTAAGAAATATCAAAATAAAGTCTACACGGAAAGAAAAACTTTGTGAAAAATCAATGAACATAAGGAATAAGAGGATGGATCAATAAGTCTGTATCCTAACTGAGTTATTAGCTGAACTTTGAACTATCAGGATTTGAATAGAGCATCATCCACAAGAATTGGCTTGGGAGACGAGGATGGATGATGGAAAAATTCTATATTCAAAATCAAGGCTTTACAGGCCAGCGTTTAGAGTCAACCAGCAGAAATGACATCTTTTACTATGCGAGATCTGACACTATCCAGCAAGACTGACACCTTTTACAAAGCAAGGTCAACTGATTGGCAAAACAGTTTTCCCACAGACTAGTTTTGTGCTTGCAACTGACCAACAATATCTTTTAAGATCCACTGTTTCATTACAATTCAACATTTCATGACATACAACTAGACTGAGCGTTATCTTTTTGATACAAGCCCAGGCATTTTCCTTGGGTCACAATGGTTTTATCTTTTGTTTGTGAAAGATTAAAAATGATCAATTTGTTCATAATTGGCGACAATTTTTTCAGAAAAGGTCCAGTAGTGCATCTTGATGTTAATAGCGACAGACTCATTATCTACATTATTTCCAATTTGATTATTGTCCTCATCTTGGTGGTGGTTATTACCATGTTTCAGTCAGGGTGCTCTTCAGGTGTTTGTCAGTCTGGGTAACCTTTAGGGAATTCTGAACTGAAGCCTTTTATTTAATCTACAGGAGTAGACAGTTCTCATTCCGACGTCCATATCTGGGAATATCTTAATTTTATTTAATACTGCTCATCCTGTTTCCACTGAAGTCCCTATTACCCAGCCCAGAGATTGAACTCGCAATTAATGTGTCATCAAATTCATAAACCAAAGAAAAGATGACAATTCCATACACAAAGATAAAAATAATGTGAACAACTAATAAAGTCATCCTTTCAAATGTTTATGTAACACACTGAGTTCTTCCCTGATGTCTGCAGATAATTCGTGCATAAAATGATTAAACTTAGAATCTGCAAATAACTTTTTAGCCTATCTAGTTAAAATTTCCAAAAATAGGAGAGGAACAGATTCACTATAGATCAATCTCTCACACATAAGATTTATTTATTTATTTTGGAAGGATAAAGAAATGTGAAAAAAATTAGTACAGAAAATGATAGCCCCCCCCCATAAATTTATGAGAGAATTTCATTGGAATATTGGAATACTTACTAAAAAAAACAATGCCTTATGAAAAAGAGGAAAAAATGTTGCCACAAAACAAAAAAAAAAAAAAAAAAAAAAAGAAAGATATTTTTACAAAACTTCTAGACAATGTTCTTGAATATCTGTCTATATTTCCTGAGCCGACCGAGCATAGAAATGAATACAATATGGGAATCAGTAATAAGGAGTGCTAGAGAAAAGTGATAACAACAAAAATTGCAATATGAGCTCTGGTAAAAACATGTATGATAACAGCAAAAATTGCGATTATGAGCACTGGTAAAAAAGGTTGAAGACATTAGGTTTATAATGCCCAGAAATTCATACCCTGATGTCCTCAAGGACACATGGCACAGTGGATAAAGCCATTAATTAGATCCAATGATAGGACCCAAAGAGTGTGAGTTCAATACCTGGTTAAGGCAGTGGAGAACTTGGAGAGGGGAATTAACAAGAGATAACTGATAACTCATATTCATTAAACATGGAACTAGAACAGTCTACCCCAGTGAGCAAAATAAAGGGTTAAGTTCATGAAGAATGCTGGAGCGTACAACGGCAAACGTAATAAATATGGTGACAAAGATGAGGACAATAGTCCAAATAATGTTTTTTAAGATCAATACGTTTGACATTAGGTAATTGACATTGAGAATTTAGATTATTAATTAGCCATCTCTTATTTTAGTGTCTTAAATAATTTTACGTTTTCCCCATTTGTGAAATTATTTTGATAAAAATACTTAAATGTACTAAAAGTTATATGAAATGCAATCCATATAATTTTTGTTGAAATGAAAGCTTTCGTCTTTAATTCTCATATGAATGAATGCATGTAAGAAAAATGTTTTAATGATTAATTTGTAAAATACCTTACAGTAAATTCTTATTTAAAATCAAATAAGTTATTAAAAAAGTAAAATTAGAACAAAGTCATAATTTAGTTAATCCCTAGATTCTAAATATTTTTGTAGGCCAAAGGACCAATTTCTGCAGGTCCTTTTTTTTCTTGAAATGGTGCCAAACAAATACAAAGAAAGAGAATTCATAAAATACTGATATTTATGATGTTGGAAGGACATTAGGGGAACAGGAGTCTTAAGTGTTTCAGGTCCCCCCCCCACACACACACACACTTGTAAAATATTTCCAAACACTGAAACTTCATCCTGCACACATTAACTTTCAACAAAAAATATCATTGATGGGTCAAATGTCATAAGTTTGGCCATCCTTTACTCTTTTTAATCTTTTTGAAATGTTGTCTAAAGTAAATCTATCAGCTTCCACTGACTGCTTCTTTGTCAGCTGGTTCCTCTTTTCAAGTCTTGGAAGTGGTAAGTTCAAAGAGATTGCAAACTTAGTGGCCAGTAGACTAGTGTCAATTAGTTCTTGGACATCTCCAAGATTGATATCCTGACTTCCCACTACACTTATCATCTTTGTCAGATCTACAATTTCTGTCATTATAAACTTCAAAAGAGAAACCAGGGAAATTGGTGACAAATTCGGACATTTGACTTTGTTAGCATGAATTCATAGATTCTGGCTTTATTAATTGGATAAATTTTCCCATCATGCTTATCGCATCTGCAATGTTAAAATTTTTCCATGTTTTCATGGTTCTCTTTGTTACTATATTCATCCATGCCCTGCACAATTCTCTGTATTGAAGGTCGTGTGTAGTGGGATTTAAATGATCCAATCATTTTCTGATCAAGGAACTGAATAAGAGACAAAGTTCAAAGGCATGAAGATTGCCTCAACAGTTTTGTAGTCACCAATTCTTGGATGACAAAGGGCGTTATCTAATATCAACAAAACTTTGAAGGGAAGGTCCTCTTTTGCAAAATACTCACTTACCACGGTCACAAAACAGATGAAACCATTCTAAGAAAGTCACCCGTGCCTTCTTGTTGAACATCCAGTAAACTGGCAACAGTACTTTATTTTTTCCCATCAAAGTTGGGGAATGAGCAGCTTTGTCACCCCCCCCATCTTGTAACCTGATGCTTTTTCTTGTATAAGTCCTTTGAGGTATTTTTTTTCCTCCAAAAATAGTGGATGCTGCTTCTCCCATTATTTTAACATTTCATAGGTCAAACATTGTCTTAATTTCATCAAACCAACCTTTGCTGGCCTGAAAGTCTATAGAATTTATGCTTTTTCCTTTGCAACTATTTTGTCGTTTAAAAGATGTATGTAAGGACTTTTGCCTTTTTCCTTATTATAACAGTCTTTTGGGTTGAGATGTGTTTCTTATGAAAGTTTTGCACCCATAAAAGAAGTAGCCATTTCAGCCCGAGACAGATGATGGCAATACTGCAGAAACAGCCTCACGAATCTGCTATTTTTTTTCTGAATATAGTACACTTTTCTGCAAGAATCATAACTCTTTGTGGCTTAACATTTCCAGTTGCGCTAGGAGCATTACTCTTTCGACCCATTACAAATGGTTATTTTATTATGAAATTTATACAAAAGATGTTTTTTCAAATTGCAAATAAAAATAAAGTCTTGATTTGTTTTTTTAAGAATTTTTTTGCTTTTTGTAAATACACAGAATACACTTGAAAGTTAGAAATAAAAAAATTATGAATTAAAAATCTAATAGAATTAAAGCAATGTACAAAGTTAATTTAAGTAGCGTGTGCAAAAGAAAATAAAATTAAAATTTCCTTGTTGATGAAATAATTGCAAATGAAATTCTGAGAAAGAATTGTTAATCATAAAAAATATGTTTAATGAATTTTGTGAATCTTTTTAAGCATCAGTGGCAGTAATTTTCTTTTTAATCATTAAAATTAATGTGGCAATATAGGAAGAAAGTGAGTAACTACTAACACCGAGGTTTGAACATGACACTCTGGACTTATGTTTTCTGCCAGGTGTATAAATAGCGGTGTCAGGCTACTGACTGCAGTGATTATTGAGTGGAATGATCCAGTTGAATTAGTGTGCATTGATGATTTGAGTTTTGATTTAGAATTTACTGGACATTAAGCTGAGCCACACTACTAACAAGATATTCACTGAAATGATGGACTTTTACTTCTTTGTTCTTGTTAAGTATTTATTTGCAATTGTAATTAAATACTGTTTTATTTAACATAAAAGTCTTGAGCTATACTTAATTATTAACGGCCACTGTATGTCACAAAAAATAAATTCATGAATACGAAGACATCCAAAACTACACACACACGAGAGAGAGAGAGAGAAAACTTACTTGTTTACAAGTAAAGGCAAATGAGCAAATTTGGGAGGTTTCCAGCCAAATGCTTTGTACAATTGAATGTGTTTTGGAGTTGAGTTCTGCCATTCCTAGAATGAAAATGGTTATTTATTATCATCATAATAATGAAAGAAAAAAAAAGAAAAAAGAGAAAAAAAAAGAAAAAAGAGAAAAAAAAGAAAAGAAAGAGAAAAAAGAGAAAAGAAAGAGAAAAAAGAGAAAAGAAAGAGAAAAAAGAGAAAAGAAAGAAAAAAAGAGAAAAGAAAGAAAAAAAGAGAAAAGAAAGAAAAAAAGAGAAAAGAAAGAAAAAAAAAGAAAAGAAAGAAAAAAAGAGAAAAAAAAGAAAAAAGAGAAAAAAGAAAGAGAAAAGAAAGAGAAAAGAAAGAGAAAAGAAAGAGAAAAAAAAGAAAAAAGAAAAAAAGAAAAAAAAAAAAAAAAAAAAGAGAGAAAAAGAGAGGAGAGAAAAGAGAAAAAAGAGGAGAGAAAAAGAGGAGAGAGAAAAAGAGAGAGAGAAAGAAAAGAAAAAAAGAGAGAAAAAAGAGAAAAAAGAAAAAAGAGAAAAAAAAGAGAAAAAAAAAAGAGAAAAAAAAAGAGAAAAAAAAAGAAAAAAAGAGAAAAAAGAGAAAAAAGAAAAAAAAGAAAAAAAAAAAAAAAAGAAAAAAAGAAAAAAAAAGAGAAAAAAAGAATAAAAAAAAGAAAAAAAGAGAAAAAAAGAGAGAAAAAAAGAGAGAAAAAAGAGAGAAAAAAAAGAGAAAAAAAAAGAGAAAAAAAAGAGAAAAAAAAAAAAAAAAAAAAAAAAAAAAGAGAAAAAAAGAGAAAAAAAAAAGAGAAAAAAGAAAAAAAGAAGAGAAAAAAGAGAAAAAAAGAAAAAAAGAGAAGAAAAAAAAAAAAAAAAAAAGAGAAAAAAAAGCAAAAAGAGAAAAAAAGAAAAAAGAGAAAAAAAAAGAGAAAAAAAGAAAAAAAAAAGAGAAAAAAAAAAAGAGAAAAAAAAAAGAGAAAAAAAAAAAGAGGAGACAAAACTAAATCTGATTCAGTTCAAATAAAAAGGTGAGAATAGGGAGCATAAAATCAGAAGACAAAATGAAGAGTAAATAAATGAGACGACAATCTTTATCTATATAATAAAATGAAAATGTCAGTGTCTCACACTTTTTCAACTTTACTCCTACAGGCCATAGCCCAATATATCATACCATTTTGGAATCAGGCTGACTATGAGCAAATGAAAAACATGCCAGGCAGGAACCAGACCCTCAATCCTGAAATTTTGAATTCCCCAGTTTTAATTACTACAATTGTTTTTGGCAATTTTTTGCCAATTTTTTTTTTCTACGATAATTTTTATAATTTGGAAATAAATTTGAGAATAATCAAAATCGTGAAAGTCACCCATGAATTAAAAATAATTGTTAATACGGAAAGTAAGGGACCTACATACATCAAATTGTCTTTAAATTAAGTGGCAAATTATCAGTGAACTTTTTAAATGTAAGCTTAAATATTAATGCAATGCTTAAATGCAGCAATCAATTTTGAGTTGTTCTGTTGTTTATTGTTGCCTATTGCATCTACTCCTCCCTACCTATTGTGATGAAAGCCCAATCAATAGTTTAAATGCCACCCAATAGGGTGGCTTTTAAGCTAATAATCAATAAGTGTGTGTATGCATAGATAATTACACATGTATACTTATTCCCAATCTTTTAAGGTTACAAATACAAGGAATAATTGGCAAAATGTTCAACAAGTAAAACTGACAAAGTTTTTCAATAAACAATAAGGATGAAAAAGTACAAAGCAAAATAATACTAAACAAACAATATATAAGTCAAAAGTAGACAAAACAACATTAAGAATTGTGTTCATATGCAAAAGTGATACAGTCAATGATTATAGTGTAAAAATACGAGTCATGAGACCAAGAAGTCATCCATATTTATTGGTTAGGAAAAAATCCCAGTATGAATCTGTAGGGTTTGACTATAAATTTGGGGAAGAGGGGTCATTTTAACAGTTATTCAAAATGGATAGATTAAAATCAACTAATCAGAATTATGAAATTAGCTTTTATATAAGCTTTATTTTTTTTTTTTTTTTTTTAATTTTTAAATGCGTGGAGGTATATTTTTGGTTCACAGAGGGGGGGATTGTTTGCAAGTATGCCATGATTTGAGAGAACAACAATATGTGAACAAGATCAGGGTGGAGGAGTCATAATTCTGATGTATATTTTATTCATAGATTTTTATCAAGAAAAAAATATTTGGAGAGTCATATTTTTGACCATATTTAAAAAAAAAAAAAAAAATCTTAAACATGACACCATCAATATAAAGTGGAGCAAACAGGTTGAGGTGCGCCACATTGCGGTAGTCAGAATAGCCATAAATGACCTTAAATTGAAATATATTTACATTGTGAATGGAAATATAAGATCTCCCTATTGTAAGGTTATTGTTATAACACACACTCTTACTTGGTATAATGTAATTCATTAAGGTAATTCTCTATGTGTAATGCTTAGGCTTTTGCTGTAATGCCTGTATAGTTAGTATGAAGATGGACTCCAATACGACTAATGACCTTATACCATAGAAATCTTTGTAGTATTGGATGAGTTCATAGAGTCACCGAGGGTGTACACTTTACTGCACAACACTAAGTTACAAAAAAAGTTAAGCAGAGAATAAAAAAAAAAAAAAAACAGATAAAAACATTAGAAACAAAGAAAATAGTACTAAACTCTAACATAATATCAGTCGCCCTATATAGCAGTGAATGCTGGACAATCTCCTCACAGATGAAGAGATTTGAAGCAACAGAAATGGGGTTCTACAGGAGGATGCTGAGGTTACAATGGACTGAATATGTGAGCAATGTCAAAGTTTTAAAGAAAATGGAAACAAAAACGAAACTTATACTTAACATCAAGAAGAGACAGTTGAAATTTGTAGGACAATGAGGAAAGAGGGCGTGGAAAATCTGATACTTACAGGACAGATTGAAGGCAAGAGCGATAGAGTAAAACAACGCCTAACACACTTAGTGAGCTTCAGTAAATGGATAGCAGGATATTGTGGAGAGCCATGATCACCCATGTCCTGAAGAGTCATAGCATATAGAAGAACAAGCTTGTGTAAATGAATGGCAGAAGAGTGATTAAGAAAGATAACAAAGAGATAAGTGCTACTAAGAACTAAAAAGGACAGGAAATTGTGGAGAGCCATGATCATCCACATTCGGAAGAGTCACAACATACAGAGGAACAAGTTTGTGTAAATGGTGGGGGGCAGGATAGATATTAGGAGAGATAACAAAAAGACAAAGTTTATTAATAGCTAAAAAAAAAAAAAAAAAAAAAAAAAGGAAGTTGTGAAGAGCTATGATTGCCAATGTCCAGAAGGGACATGACACATAGAAGAAGAAGCAACAGCTTATGTAAATGGACGGTGGAGCAAGGTTTAGGAGAGATAACAAAAAGACAAAATTTATTAAGAGCTACAAAGGAAAGGAAGTTGTGGAGTGCTATGATCACCTATGTCCTGAAGAGATGGCACATAGAAGAATTTTGACTTCTAAATAGAGAATTATTATTATTCTTAATTTTCCTGACCATTTTTTTTTTAAATCATTTCACCCAAAGAAAAACAAACTACTAAGATACAAATGGTTACTGAGAGTGAAAGAGAATGAAAAGAGTTTAATGCGGAGAAAGGACAATAAAAAAAAACAGGATTCAAGTAGACAGGAGATGGCAATTGGGACTACATTTAAATTTTTGAAGAATGTAGGTGGCAGGTAAGAAGTGCTAGAAAAACTATTAGAATAGAACATATGGTTACTTTTATCTAGTTCAACAGTAAAACAGTGAGACTAGTTGCCAGTATTAGTTGTTTCCCTACAAGTAAAAATTTAGCATTCATTGATTGAGCAGCTAGTACTGCTTTCGGCTGTAGTTTATAAAATCTTCCTCTTAAAATCTTTTTTCAGGAAAATAGGTTTTTCAAGTTCGGTAGCCGTTATTGCTCTTCCCAGTAGTACATAAATTAATGCAGTCAACATACGAAGGAAGAGGGCTCATCAGAACAAGTGTCATGAAAAATATTTATAGGAAAGACAGACGAAGAAACATCATCATAATGGTGGGAAAGTGACTGAAGTTGAGATGCTAGGTCAGGATTGAAAACCTTCTTTGAATTTTGTCAAAGGTCTTGAGATATTTAGCTGCAGTACCAGACCAGATATAGTATCAATATTCAATGTATAGACAAATCATAGATTTATAAATATGCAAGATATATATCTAAAATTTTCTCTTGTTTTATTGTCAAATGTTATATTATTACTAATTTTCATTGTCAATGTTGTGACTTGGGGGTCGGGGGAAAGAAAATTGTTGGTGTCTAAATACTGGTTGTGCTAATCCTAATTCATATTTGTCGACCATATTTTGGGAAAGAGAAAGAAAACAGAAAAAAAAACATTACGCCAACCAGATAAATAAATAATAAACAATTACATTAATATCAAAATCTGGGAGGAACCTTTCTCAGATTAACTATGTCTTCAGAGATGGTAGCCATACTCACCACGCTTGGCCAATTGCGAGTTGGTGAGGTTATTTAACTCATAGTTAAAGGTTTTGAATTCAGAGTTGCCATACTCAGAGACTGGTTGCCATCCAAAACTATAGGAACCAGTTTACACTATTTACATTATTTGGACTATTGTCCCCATCTTTGTCACTATATTTATTATTATTACATTTCGTCCGTTGTACGCTCTGGCCTTCTTCAGGTGGTTGGAATGTCGAACTGAACCCTTTATTTTGCTCACTGGGGTAGACTGTTCTAGTTCCATGTGCCATGGATCTAATGGATGTCAGTTATCAGTTATCTCCTGTTAATTTCCCTCTCCAAGTTCTTCACTGCCTTAACTGGGTATTGAACTCACAACTCTTTGGGTCTTGTCACTGGATCTAACCAACATCTTTTATTCACTGTGCCATGTGTCCTTGGGGACATAATATCTCATCTCAGAAATATAGACAGATAATGAAGGACCCAGTTTGTGTTGCTATTTTAAGTGTAAGTGTATGTAACAAATTCAACGAGAATTTGTTCTCCAATTCCTCAATCCAAAAATGTTATCCATTACTCCACTGTGCCTCCATTATTGAGCTTCCACCTAAGTAAAGCCAAAAGAAGGTTTTGAATTGACAACTTACCACACCTCTCAGGACGTGAGTGATAGCCATTGTATGGTCGTCTACAACATTCGCAAAATGATAAGTGGGGTATTGGTCTGTTTTGAGAATGACCTGGAAAGAGAATTCATCAAAAATAAATGCATTAGATTTTAGTAATTCTCAATTGGGCAGAGTAAGGTGGTGTGTATGCTTCTCTTTTGTTTCAGGAAGGGAATTGCAATCATAGAATGGCAGGTTTAAACTTTGGGAATATTGTATTGACCATTTGGCAATGTTTAAACTTGGTGCCTGAAAAAAAACAAAAAACAAAAAAAACAGACCTTGTCAAACCTAGTGAGCCAGACAAACCTATATATATATATATATATATATATATATATATATATATATATATATATAAAAGTATGTTTAAAGTACAGTTATTCCCTTGAAGTCTATTACTGTAGGCACTTTTGACTCCTTTTGTAATGTTTATTTAGAAGAATATAAAAATATGAGAACTAAGTACAATATTTATTATTTACCTTTTATAAAAAATTATTTAAAATTTTATACAGAAATAAATTTGAAAAGAAATCTTTTTATTAAAAAATTCATAAAAAAGTTACAAAATCAAGATATGCAAAAACAAACAACAATGCAATATTTCATTATTTACCATTTTGTAAATAACTATAGAACAAAAAAAATTGAATAAACATATGATGTAAATATAAATTAAAAGACTAATTAAGAGGAAGAGACACTTAACTTATTTACTGAATTTATGTGATGAAAGCAAATGATAGAAATGTCTGAGAAACATTTTTTTCAAAGTTTATAATTACAGTTACTCATTGTTATGCGTTTAGTCAAGTTTTCTTATTCAGATATTTTTAAAAGAAATAAATATGAAAAAAAATTTTATTCATAAAGAAAATTTTTTTCATATTTATTTCTTTATGAAATAGTAAATATTTCATTATAATTGGCTCACATTTTTATAAATATAAAATTATCCTCATAAATAAGCAATGTAATAAATAGCGTTTAATATCTTTGTCAATTTTCAAGAATAAAGAAAATTTATAAATCCACTTTCATGTTTGAGTTTTATTAAAATTCTAATTTTTACCTTTTTTAATAAACATTGTCAGGGAAGCCAAAAGTGTATACAGTAATAGCAATGTTGAGGGAATAATTCTTTTGGCATATGGTTTTTTTGTGGGTACAAAGGTTAAACATTGCCAATCTTTTCTATAAGCTACAATTCTACACAGTACAGTTTTCGAGTGAGACAATAGTGGAAGTAGAAGAAAAAAAAATGTTCTGAAATGGGTTTCGGGAGGGGTTGAAATACTCAGAACCCCTTATCTTTGACTGAAACTCAAAATGTTATCAACAGACAATGAATGAAAACATCTCTTGCTGGAATCCAAAATTTATTTACACTAAAAGTCCTCATTTGACATTGCTTTGTGAGAGACCATGTGATGGTTAGAAGATTCAAGAACAGAAATCCAAATTCTGAACTAATGCAATTTAGATCTTGTAAATTATTATTATTATTTTTTTTTTTTAAATAATTGTGTAATGATTGAGAAGTTCTTCAATATATGGCATATTATTAAAACAATAAGGCAAAAATATGACAGGAAATTGGAATAATAAAGTTGCTCTCAACAAGACTACTTTATCCTATATATCAAGAGAGATTAGATTACATGGGTGACAGCTTCTTCCCTAAGCCATGTCCCTTCAGGATGTGGGCAATCATGGCTCTCCATAGCTTCTTTTCCCTTGTAGCCCTTAGCAGTGTTTGTCCCTTTGTCAAGCTTCCTCCAGTGCAATTCCACCATCCATTCACACAAACTTGTTAGGGAAATGGCCTGCTGTCTTCCATTATCTCTCTTGCCTAAGATATACCTGTGAGGGTTATGTTTTCGAAGCCCTCCTTCCTCAGATGTCTGAGAAATTTCAGCTGTCTTTTCCCAATTTTGAGTATGTGTTCTTTTTGTTACAATTTTCTTTCAGACTTCCTCATTGCTTATTCACGCCATCCATGGAATTCTCAGCATCCTTCTGTAGAACCACATTTTCTTTTTCCAGTTTGCCCTTTATCTGTGAGTATACCTGAACTGATTTGACTACAGAAACCTGACATTGCATAGAGAAAACAAATGTTGTACAATAGAGGTAAAAGAATGACTATGGATTTTAAACTTGCCCCACTGAAAGGTTTCAGTGGCCTAATAGGTTCAGGTGTCACCCATATAAAACAGGCCGAGATGTAGGATACTTCTTTATTTTGATTTTCAGGGTCAAAGAGCATGGTCAGCTGAGAAGGTTGAAAAGAGAGCAAGGCGGGTGGGGCAAGGCTATAGTCTGAAAAAAATCAACATAATAAAAAAAAGACTTACAGGATCTCCTTCAATATCGGCTATATTATCAGTGATAGCACCAAAGAGCAAGTCTTCCCAGGGTTCAGTGGTCATTTGTAGCTGTGGTAGAAAAAAAAAATTATAGAAATTTAACTTAGGTTTAAAAATTCCAGCCTTAAATTCTTACAAAAGAATTTACTTAAGACCTACTTCTTAGAAAGGTTTCTTTTTTTTTTCTTTTTAAATCATATTCACCCCATGCAAGGCAGTAAAGCCACGAGGGGTCACTGTGTGTGAAAGAATTAGAAAACGGAAAACATTAAGAAGTGAGAACAATGGAAGAGTAATCAGGAAGACGATAGGTAACAACAGATCTACACTATTTACATTATCTTCATGTATTATACTCTGGCTTTCTTCAGATGATATACATTGGAAATTTGAACCGAACCCTTCTATAAAAATGTTGGTTGAAGTAATCCAGTGACTAGAGTCAAAAGAGTTGTGAGTTCAATACCTGGCCACAGTAGAAGTGAACAAAAACTTGGAGAGTTGAATTTCTAAAGGGAAATAACTGAAACTGAGATATCCAGAAAAGGCATGGCATGTGGAACTAGAACAATCTACCCCAGTGGATAAGATAAATCATCTGAAGAAGGCTAGAGCACACAATGGCCGAAACGTTATGAATATGACAATAAAGATGAGGACAACAGTCTGAATAGTGTAAATAGTTCCAATACCTCATCTCAGGAATAGAGAAATGTTGATGGACATTGCATTTAGATATTTGAAAATCAAAGTTGCTTAGAAAGCATAGAGCTGGAAGAGAGTTCCACGAGTGAGAAAAGAAACAGAATAGAATTCATGGTTACATCTAGTTATTTCAACTGTAAAATGATGAGATCTGGAAAACATTAGGATTTATGAGGGTGGGATGAAGAACTAATTGTAAGAACTAATTTTTTATTAATAAACAAAGCAAGAAAATATATTTTCTGTCAATTTTTGGTTAAATGAATCATTAACAAACATGTTTTCTGCTTAATATAAACTAAATTAAAAATACATTAGCATAGAACATACAATTGCATCTAACTAATTCAACTGTAAATTAATGAGATCTTGTTGCCAATCTAGTATTGTGCTTAAATTCATAAATTCCAAACAATTACCATGAAAGTATTTATAGAAACAGAACAGGGGAGCTACTTTATGGTGGTGTGAAAATGACTGAAGTCAAGATCAATAATATTGCTGATTCTTTTGATTTTATCAAGAATCTCTAAATAAATAGCAGGAGTAGCAGACCATATGTGGCAGTAATATTCTAAGCATGGACAAATGGTAGACTTATAGATAGACAAGATAGATTCTAGAGAGAAAAATTGTCTAACATGACACCAACTTTCTTAGCAGCTTGGCAAAAATGGTTGCTTTTGTTTGGATTGTAACAGCTGTCATATTAGCATGCTATTTTTTTTAATTTTTAAAAACTGGTGCTGCTTTTGTTTGATTTTAACATGAAAGATGGGGAGAAAAAAATAAATGTGTGAATGAAAATGCTGGAAGGAAGGAAAGCTGATAATAGAAGTAAATGATAAATATATTGATTAATAAATAGCGGGGAATAAAAATTTAACTTAAACTGAATAAACTTTGTGAACAACCAAATCTGGTCTAAAATTATAAATGCTGAATCCTAAAAAGTATTAGTTAAGGAATGGTGGTTATCTAATTAAGATGTTCCAATCCGAATAAATGCATTTGAATCACATGTACCTTTAGTTGAAGGTAGCCTCCTCAGGACAACAGCTAAACCTGTGGGGAGCTTGCTGAATGCTTCCAGGTTTCTAATGAAACCTGGAGACTTCACCTGCACTGCATAAGGAAGGCGTACAGGTACAGATTAACAAGCAGCAATGATTGACAACCTGTTTCTACTTTGCTTTCTTGGCACTGCAATGAATCCATATTTTGATTAAGTGCTCATCAGTGATGAAAAGTGGGTCCTTTACAACATTCCTAAGTGTACCAGACATTGGTTGTCTGTGGAGTCAAAACACAAAACCTTCAACTCAGACTTCTCTATTTTTGGCACCTCTGACTCCTCTTTATGTAATTAAAAAGTGACTATGGCCTACAGATCTCATAAGGCCTATACATACATTCCTAACTGTAGTCGGCCTATATCGTTATAATTGGTTTATATCAAAGAATAAAGACATTATGACTTTTATATCATAACTATTCATTCTTCAATAATTTTTTTAACAGAATTAGAGAGAAAATCTTTGAAAGGATATAGAAGAAATAACAATATATATGAATGAATGAATGCACACACATCTTTGCAACTAAGTACAGAACAAAAATAAAACTACTTTATAACAGAAGTTGAAATATAAGCTTTTACAGAACATAACAATTTTATAATGTAAGATTTTTTTACATATATAGTTTTGCAAATACAAAATAACTACAAAAAATAAAATGACTTTAAAAAGAAGTTAAGATGAATTTCTTTAAAGGAAATAGTAAATCTATAGAAGAAATAACAAAACTAGAAATTCTATAAATGTAAGACTTTTTACATAAAGTGTAAATTCAACTGGAGTTGGAGTCTGCATAATTTTACTGACCCTAACTCCAGTGACCCTTTAATTGCTTTCGAATGACTCCACAGCCCTGTTGTTTGTCACCACAAGACCCTGGTGCTTCATGTCACAAGACCACATCTACACCCCTGCTCTCTATCTGGTGGACTAGTCGATAAGTGATGCAGTATGAGCTGCTACCAAACAACCACTGCAGATGTATACTTGGAATGTGTGTAATAAGTACTAAAACAGAGGGAGACATCATTGGTTAATTGCAAGGGTGTACTGTTCCTCCATGACAATGTCAGATCATATGTGCCATGGGTGGCTAAGGATACTATATGGTGACTTGTGCTATTCTAGCGCCAACAGATTACCACCTCTTCTATTCTCTGGATGAACAACCACCTTCATGGGAAACCCTTTGCAAATGAGGCAGGCATTTACAGACTTCTTTGTGCCCAAGATACCTGATTTTTACCACAAGGGCAGTCTGCAGGTAAAACGTTCTGGATACTGATGAATATTACTTTGAGGATTAACGGTATGTCAAATTTGATGTATAACTTGTTTTTTTTTCTAATAAACCAAAAATGGCAAGGCCTTTTTTGGCTATCTTGTAAGAAAAGATTTATTTTTAAGGATCTCCTCTTTTAAGAATTGTTTATTTAAAATCAAATCTTCCTGATTAGTCAAACAGTTTTCTAAATACTTTTGTCAAGTCACTACAAGGTGTTTTTGGTTTTAGTTAGAATATTTGTGTGAATTATGAGCAGTTTTGTTTGTGTACTGAAATTAAATTGAAATTTATTTTTGCATATTTTAATTCTTGAAACTTAAAAATTCATTTTTTAAAATGTTGACATTTTGTAAATCAAACTTTTTGTAGTTTTTCATTTTTAGTTATCCTATAAAAACCAGATAACACTCAAGACAATATCTAACAAGAAAATTAAGAACTAAATATATACTAATTCAAGTTGAATGTTTGACTAAATGGTATTAAGTCATGAAAATGACTCTCAGTATTAATGGTTATTTAAACTACTAAACTTATTTTTGTTGCTTATGTTACAGAAGGTGAGAACAAAAAAAACCAATGATAGGTAACTAGTGACCATTTGGGGAAATGAATACAGATGATTGGTGTAGTCATTGCATTTTTACACCCACAATATTTTTTTTACTACTTAACAGTGTGGGTGATTTAAAGTCAAAATATATTTTGAATTCTAAGAATAATTCTTTTTTTTTTTTGTAAGTGTATATTGCATTAACAAATATTTGGAGATAATGATTTTTCCAGATACAAGTTCTACTGTTTAACCCTCAAATGGAAGTGAAAGAAAAAGATTTATGACTTTCCCAAAAGTATTTGCATGTAAGTGAATGTAATGAACCCAACGGAATTTGAACTTGGCTCTCTGATTTCGCATTCAAAGATGCTATTCAGTACATCATCAAACCTGAAATATTGTGACAAACAATACAAAGTCTAAATTAATGACTTCCTTAAATTTTAGACAATATTAATTTTTCATTTTAATTAATATTAGTCTTTAATAAAAAATTTAAAAAAAAAGGTACTTTTTATATAAACTTGATTCCAGCCAGTAATCTATAGCAGTGGAGGTCTAAAAATAAAAGAAACCATTGTTGTGAAACTAAATGAAAGTACATACTTGTAAAATATGTAATATTGCTTGACAATGCTTCATTTAAGAAAAATAAAATTACTAATTTCTGTTCTTAATATGCAAGTTTTATATCTGAAAAAACATGGAGAAAAAAAAAAAAAAAAAAAAAAAAAGAAAGGAAAAATTTTTTTCATTCTTCCCATAAAATGGCAATCAATTACCAACCTTAAATCGTATCACATGTGGAATTTTGTCTGCAAGTTTCTGATTGATGTCCTTCTCTGTCAAGTGACGGCACTTGTTGTCATATTTTGGTGTTTCCCCTCGACTATGTGATGACCTTCTGAGAAGTTCCAGCCGTTTGTTTGTACAGAAACATCGGTAAGCCCTTCCAGTCTGAGGGGAGAGAGAGAAAAAAAAAAAAAAAGAGATAAATATTAGGGAAGCAATTCTAAGAATAAAGACAGAAATGTTAAAAGTACATTAATTCCCCTCCAAGCAGAAATTGGTTCCTTATTTTTAGTGGAGAAAGACATGTGTCTGCTAACTGGATACAGAGAATCAAAAGTCTTTTATTTATCACTGAAATTAAACTACAAAAACACAACAGCCAGAGTAAAAAAAAAAAAATGTCTGCTTTCAGTTGCTTTTAACCTACAAATATTAGACTTGAACGGACTTGAGGATTTCAGGAGTTATCAAAAGTTTATCAATGTTCTTTTAGTTACAACTATTTTCCTGTTTTGCAGTCATAGTCGTGCAAATATAATTTGCATGATATTTCACTATCCCAAGCAAGGGGTGATGGGGAGGTTTCTTTATTTTCTTTTTTACTTTAATTAATCTTATTATTTGAATTTTGAAAATTGTCATTAATCATTTATCTAGATGCAAATCTGTCTAAAGTGTCTTTTAAGAAAAGGAATTCTTTATACGTATCTTAGATTTCAAATACAAGTTGAAGAGATTTCAAATTCGTTTTTTTTTTTTTTATATGCCTCTGAATGAGCAAATCCAGCGAGAGAGAGAGAGAGAGAGACACTAAGACGCATCATTTTATGGTTGAAATGGGTTGTTTTTTTTTTTTTGTTTTTTTTAAGCGTTTCACCCCAAGCAAGACGGGAAGCCACTAGGATGCAAGGGGTTACAGAAAATTTAGAACAAGATCAGATAGGAGTGATAGAAGAAAGGATGAGGAGAAGGGTAGTGGATAGATCAAGGCAACTGGAGATGTCGATTGACATTACACTTGAATAGCTGGAGATTATAGCTCTCAGGGAAACTAGAATAGGGAAGGGAGTTCCACAGGCGAGAGGTGTGAGACATGAAGCTACTGGAGTAGAAGAGATGGCTACATTTAGGAGTTTCGACAGTGAAGGGGTGAGAGCAGGATGCCAGCCTCATCGGGCGCTTGAACTCATGAAGACTGGGAACCAGCGAATGCAGCTCCTCGGACCAATTGCCATGAAAGTATTTGTAAAACAGACAGAGAGAAGCGACAGCGCGTCGGTGAGTAAGTGTCTGTAGATGAGATGCCAGATCAGGGACAATTATATTGCATATCTGCCTCTGGAGCCTATCAAGAACCCCGAGGCAAACAGAAGGGGCTCCAGACCATATATGGCAGCAATACTCCATGCAAGGGTGAATTGTTGATTTGTAGATCTGGAGGATCGATTCCAGGGAGAAAAATTTCCTGGCGCGACACAGGGAGCCAACTTTCCTTGCAATGGATGAGGCAATTGACTCAATGTATTTGTTCCATCTCAGGTCAGCAGTCAACATGAGACCGAGCAGCCGCTCTCAAGCAGTTGAGCGTCAGACATTCTAATGGAGGGCAGGGAAGGATATCTGTGGTGATTAATAGAGAGCAGTTTTGTTTTTGAAGCATTAAAGTTGACCAGCCAATTCCTGCCCCAGTTCACAAACGATTGGCGGTTCTTTTCGAGACGCACGGCCAGGTTATTTTTGTCACTGACACTAGATTTGTTTTTGAGGCAGGAATAAATTGTGGTGTCATCCGCGTAGATGCCAACTTGGGAATTTATGGCGTCAGGAAGGTCATTTATGTAGATAAGGAATAGAGTGGGGCTTAGGATGGAGCCTTGAGGAACACCTGCGTTCGTGGGATAGGAACTGGAGGAGAATCCGTTGAGAATGACCTTCAATTCACGGTTTGACAGGAATGATTGTATTAGGTCGAACAATCGACCCGTAATGCCATAACCCTGGAGCTTGCGAAGAAGGCCGGCATGCCAAACCCTATCAAATGCTTTGGAGATGTCTAGGGCCAGGCATGAGCTTCCCCATTATTTTGAAGAGCTCGGTAGACAGTTTCAGTGATGGCCGTAAGCACATCAGATTCCTTGAGGCGGTAGTTGTATAGTTTAGAAAGGGCAGGCGCCAGTTCAGGTGCGCATTTCTTCAAGACAATGGCTGGTATCCCATCTCCACCACTAGCCTTGTTGGGGTCTAAATTGGAGATAATGCCCAATACCAATGACGGGGTTATATGTAGCCCACTCAATAGGGCTTCAGTTCTAAGAGGGAAGTCGGGTATGGGTACACCGGAAGAGTCGAGCATCGAGTTGAATGAAAATTTCCGTGCAAAGCATTCAGCCTTGTCGGCAGAGGAGGTCAGAACTTCAAACTGGTTGAACAATGGAGGTATAGAGGGTTTGCAATTGTTCAATATGCTCTTGCAGAGCCGCCAATAATCTTTGGAGCCAAATTTGTGAGATGTAATACACTCCTTCATCCAAGCAGCAAATAGTGACTTAGCATCGTTGAGGACATGTTTACACTCATTACGGGCGGAGGCAAAGAGACGTCTATTGCAGTCAGACATGTCGCTATGGAACAGGCGAAAGCGGCTGAGCAAGCAGCGGAGAACCAGGGGGAGGAGTGCGACTTGAGCCTATATTTCCTTGAGGGGATGAAAATGTCGATTCCAGGTTTAACCCAGGAAGAGACCTCAGAAGCACATTTTTGAACGGGGAGCATAAAGACACGATCCCAGGGGACACCGCGGAGGAAATCACGGAATGCGTCCCAGTCAGCTTGGTGATAGTAGAACGAAGTTCTAGTGGTAGGAGGTTCTTTGCAGGGGGTGGAGTTGAAGGAGATGTTAATAGATACTACCGCATGATCAGAGTTACCAAGAGGGCAGAGCTACGTGACGCTACAGGACTTGGGGACGGAGGTAAAACACAGATCGAGAAGAGAGGCTTTACCTTCCCAGTTGAAGCCAATACGAGTGGGGAAGTTAACTATCTGCGTAAGGGATTGAGAGACTGAAAAATTGAACGTTTCAATGCCTGCGTGGTCAGTAGTAGCATTTTTAAGCCCCATGGTATGATGGGCGTTAAAGTCACCAAACACAAATATGTGGGCCAATGGGTGGAGGGAGAGAGCCTTATCTATGCTGTCAGAAATGCTATTGAGTATCACACAGTCTTGAGAGGATGGAGAGCGGTAAAGGAAGAAGAGATAGCTTACCGCATTGAGAAGAGATAGTTGGAGACATGTACGACTGGTCTGGCGATTCGAGAGACAACTCTCAGGCCAGAGGGAGATGGTCCTTGACGTAGACACCAAGGCCGTGCATGTGGGTTAGAGAGTCTTTTCTGAGGAGAGGAAAGTAGCCTGGGATCAAGAGATCAGAGGAGGGGATAGATGAGACAAGGTTGGTCTCACAGAGAGCCAGTATATCTGGGCAATTTGCAGCGAGGAAAGATTCCATACTGCAGAAGTTTGTTCTAATGCCACGGATGTTGGAGAACGAAATGTTGAGGGGTTTAGGTGATTTATGAGTGGCTGGTTTAGGGTTACTTTTTCGGTCTTTGTAAGTCATGTGGAATTTTGGTTGGAAGATGAGAAGGCCCGAAGTAAAAGAAGCAGACAGTTATCAACCGTGACGTGGGCAGAGAGGAGTTGGCACACCTGCATCATAATGTGGCCTCAGGGTTGCCCACCGGAGGTGACTGCAGGGACACCTTTCCATGGCACTACAAACACCCCAGTATTATACAACTGGGGATCAGAGCGTCGGAAACAGCAACCAGTGAACTGTCAACCGTGTACCCTCAGAATGAAGAGGTGATGCCACAGACTGCACACATCACGGGAGAAACAGTGCTGCACTAATACAGAGGCCAGAGAGAGAAAGAGAGAGAGAGTACCAGGAACCCCTTCCTAAACAAGAAACAAGGCGTAAGCCTCTACTCATGTCCAAGAGAAGGGGGAGGAGTGTTGACCGGGCGGTAGGTGTAAACGTAAGTTTCTATGAAAACATTTTCTTCTATCACACTTCTCACTTGCGGAACTCACTTCCAGCTTCTTGTTTCCCAGTAAAGTTTGATCTTCAAATATTTAAATACAATGTCAATCATTATCTTCTTAAGTCCTGTTCTTTTATTGTTATCTCCTTAATAATGTTTACATTTTTTTATTATTCTCTCACACTCATCAGCAACTCTTTGCATCTTAGTGGCTTTATTGCCTTGCTTTGGTTAGATTAAAAAAGAAAAAAAAAAAAAAGAAAGAGTAACCCATTTCCCTCAATTTAAAAATCTCCCTTACCTGTAAAAGTATTTGTGCCTTTTCATTGTAGATATCAATTCTGTGAGACTAGAAAGACAAAATATATTTTTACATGTGAGAAACAAGTTGATCTCAAATTATATACAGGTTTAAATGGATTAGCATTTTCAATTGTTGTTTTAAGGGTAAGGTTTCATGAAGACAATATAGATGGTGCTAAAAAACTAATTTTAATAAGTAAACAAAGAATTGAACGGATGGTTATGGTATTTTTTTTAGTAAACAGTACAATTGACATAAGGTAAAAAGTAGACAATTTACAATGCACACAAGTTTCATTTAAATAGGTTTCTATATCATTATGTAAACTCAATAGTAGCATGTTTTTTTCTATGAGGTTTGATCAAAATGTATCTGACTGTTGCTATGGTAATGGAGCTAAAGTACACAGTGTGAAGATGGAAGCCACTTGGCAAAGATTGACTATGAAGTGTCACGTATGCACACTAAGTCATAACATTCTTGATCACTTCTGGTATTTATATCTTTGCTTGGAGGGAAAGTGTGTAGAGCGTGGTCGTCTCACCACATCACAGAGGTTCCATCAGCGACAATGACTTGTGCAGCAGTTTTTGACCAATCACAACATTCCCCAGATCTTGTGCCTTGTGACTTTTCCTCTTCAAAAATCAAATCTAACTTGAAAGATTTCAATACATCAAGGAAATCAAAGAGAATGTAATGAGGTAGCTGCTCACTATCCCCCCCCCAGCAAAAAAAAAAAAAGCTTTCATTTGTTTAACAGCATATCAACTCCTTATATATCACTTAATGTTGAAATTTTTTTTTTTGTTGAGCTTTGGTAATTTTTTCTAATCTATTTTTGTTTTCATGTTTTGACCCCAGTTTGAGAGTTCACTATTTGCCCATAGCTGGGACCCTAACAGGTGCTACCACTCTGGGTCAGTGTGAAGCTGGGAACAACAGCAATTAAGAGGTGGTTCCACATTTCTCAAACCTACCTTGATCAGAGGCCTTGCTGCCAGATGGTGTTTATCATCATACCCTTCTTTTATGGGCCATGTTCATCCAGAATGTTGGCAATCATGACCCTCCACATGTTCCTGTCCCTTGTAAATTCTTAAGATTTGTCTTTTGTTATTTCACCCAAAACCTATTCTGCCATCTACCCACTCAAGTCCATCAAGTATGTTACATGCGGCTTTCTTCAAAAGGTGATTAAATGCCAAATTGATATGAGGTGTAGTATTTTTATGTTATAGCACCAGTCCCAATACTTTTTGATCAGACTTTGTATATTTAACTATATTACACCTGAGAAAAAAAAAAAATGATATCTTGTGAAGTATAAACCTGGAATTCATCTGATTCAATCCAAGTGAAAAATAATTCAGTTAGCAAAAAACAAAAAATAAAACTTTAGAACAAGCAAAACAACTGTAAGAATTTTTAACAATAATAAAATTCTTACTTGAATATATGGGCCATAACTGCCACCAGCTCTTGGACCTTAAATAAATTAAAAAAAAAGATAAAAATTTGACACATACATTTAACATTTTATGATATGAAGTCATACAGAACTTTTAAGTATAATTGACAAAAGTTTATGTTTATCGCTTCTCAGGTATTAATGTTGACCCTGTATAGGTGCAACAGAAGGTACCACCTTAGAGGTACAGGATGTTTTAAAGCTGAAATAACAAGCAGTTATATAACCCAACCACAAATGATAGGTGTTCTGGTAACACTTAGAAAATACAAAATGATGTTTTTAAAAAGAGAGAAAAAAAGAGGAGAGAGAAAAAAAACAAAAAAAAACAATGAAGAAGACAGAGACAGTGAAGAAGACAGAGACAGTGAAGAAGACAGAGACAGTGAAGAAGACAGAGACAGTGAAGAAGACAGAGACAGTGAAGAAGACAGAGACAGTGAAGAAGACAGAGACAGTGAAGAAGACAGAGACAGTGAAGAAGACAGAGACAGTGAAGAAGACAGAGACAGTGAAGAAGACAGAGACAGTGAGACAGGAAGAAGACAGAGACAGTGAAGAAGACAGAGACAGAGACAGTGAAGAAGACAGAGACAGTGAAGAAGACAGAGACAGTGAAGAAGACAGAGACAGTGAAGAAGACAGAGACAGTGAAGAAGACAGGAAGAAGACAGGAGAAGAAGACAGAGACAGTGAAGAAGACAGAGACAGTGAAGAAGACAGAGACAGTGAAGAAGACAGAGACAGTGAAGAAGACAGAGACAGTGAAGAAGACAGAGACAGTGAAAGAAAAAGAAAAGAAAAATGTTGAAGAGAAGAAAAAAAAAAATTGACTTGTCTTTCCTGCTATTTACCCAGAAGTGATGAATCCATACCTTTCCCAAGGGTATTTAGCAGGTAAGTTCATGTAATGAACCTGACTGGAATTCAAACTCATCTCTCTGATTTCCCAATCCAAGCTACCTACTATCCATTACTAATCTACTGGGCCTACATCAGATAACTAGTATCAGGAGTCATAAATCAGAAATATATATATATATATATATATATATATATATATATATATATATATATATATATACACACACACAAAAAAATTTAAATTTTGTTTTACTAAAATTTGATTTCATTGGTTTTCTTTTACGGCATATTGACTTCAATGGGTTATTTAATGCCAACAAGATTTTTATTGCTAGAAATATTTTTTTCTTCAAAAATGGTATTGCTGGTAATAAAATTTATTTTTACACTCTCATAGTGTTTTGACTCCAGTTTGGGGGTTAACTGTTTGCCCAGAGTTGGGACTCTAACAGGTGCTACGACCCTAGGATCCAATTAAGAGGTGGTTCCATGCTCCTCAAAACCTCCCGATCAGAGGCCTTGCTGCTGGATGTAGTTTATCATCTTATCCAGGATGCACTAAAATTTGAAAGACTACTCATTAGAAGTTTGAAAAATTGTACGAATATTCAGCTACGAGGAGAGGACATTTCTGAACATTAATAGAAAATATTACTTTTCAGTTTGATTTACCTCCCCTTGAACATGCTTTTAAACTTAATTTAAAACCAAAGACCCAGACTAGCTTTTTTTACTTATGTCCTAGAACAATCCTGGCATGAAAATGTCTTTAACATTGTTATCATTTTTAGTTGTTAGTAGCATCATTGAGATATTAAAGAATGACATTTATTTTGGCTCCTTTTAATTATTAAACTGTAGCCTCTGCTACTTGCAACCACTTACCTCATTTTTTTTTTAAGGTGAGTAGTACAGATTGTAATGAAGAATGTAAATGAATACAAAGCATACATACAAACAGCCGTGTTGTTTTTTTTTTTTTTTTAAGGCAGGACCAGTTCAAACAATGTAAATAATTTGTAGTCTTTATATAAAAAAGTACATTTATAATTACTTATCTAGTGTTCTGACTGAATTTTCAATTTTTTTTTTTTTTTTTTTAAATGGTTCATTTAAGGTTTTAATTAAAAAAAAAAAAAAAAAAATTCTTGCTTAAAGCAAAATTATTTTTTTTTTTTACAGTTTTTCACATTTACAGATAACAACCAACCCTACCCAGCTGGTCGATCAGAAAAGCATTCAATTTAAATGGAGCAAAAACAGCATCATGTTTAGATGTAACAGAGTCTGTCTTCAATTACTTTAAAGTACTTTCATTAAAAAACATTATGAATGAATGGAGTTATTGATATAACAGAAGTAGGAAGTAGTCTGTATTTATTCAATCGAAGTTAGCTGAGGACATGAAATAAAACAGGCAACATGAAGACCAACTTCAGACCACAATTATTTTGAAGTTTTTGAAATTCAATTTGTCAGTTTGCTACCAGGGATGTAAAAGAGGATACATTTATAAATTAAGTTTCATGAAAAGTGGTTGAAAGATCAGCAAAAAATAAGAAACCAGTAAAAATCACCATTTTTTGCTACTTACATGGCTTTTCACGATATGGGTGGATTCACATATCAAGTTAAATGACTGCTAAACAATCAACTTATTGTTGGCTACAATTGAGTGAAGTTTCCATTAGATTGCTTGAAAATTGAGGGAGTTTTTCGTTTAAAATTTGTGCTGAAATCAATATTTTGTTTTTCAGCTTTGCTAAATGCAGTAGCATAGAAATAAAAATGAGGAATCATTGAGTTTGTCATGATGTAAGTAACCTACATACCAAGCTTGAATGAAATCGGAGGAAAAAAAGTTGAATTTATTGATTTTTGATCAGCTTTATCAATTATTGATTTTTTACACTAAGAACCTATCTCTTACATTGTATAATGTATATGCCAAGTTTGGTCAAAATCAGTTGGATGGATCTTGAGTGAAAAGGTATCACACAGACATCCTGTTTTTATTTATATATATATATATATATATATATATATATATATATATATAAAGTATATAATTGGTGTAACTTTTAAAACCATTTGTTTTTGCATTCAACATCATCACTTGATAAGACACCGGGAGTGTTGAAACAAAATGGCTATTTTTGTAGTGATTTTATAACATGTTTATGGTATAAATTTTTTAAATAAATAATTATATGTATATAAATAAAAAGAAAGAACATATATATATAAATTTAAGTCCTACAACTTCCATCTTGCTTTCATTCACCAGTTTAAAAAAAAAAAACCCTACCTGAAAAAAATTTCCCTGTGTAAAGTGCAAACAGTCACCGAAAATGCATGATTTTTAACATCTTCAAAAAGAAATTATCTTTGTATAGTGTGACCCCCCCATATTTTTTTTGCATAACAAACTGATCATAAAAAAATTCTTAATATAACTGCATGGTATTCTACTTGCTTTTTAGTCCAAGATTCTTTAAGCCAAGAGACTGTTTTGAATCCCTCAAAAGCCTAACACAATAATGCTACTAAAAAACATTAAATTAAAAGTCTGGATTAAAGAAATTACCCTGAATTAGAACTTCCTTCTTTCACACTTTGTGGACAGTAACATAGGTCAGTCCAGAGAATGTACAGCTATTTGGAATTTATCAATTGTTTGATTCATTTTCTACAGTTTATCAACCCCCTTGCCAATTATTTAAAGACAAAAAATATTTGTAGATTAAAAAAAAATTTTTTTTTTTTTTTTTTTTTTTTTTGAGATAATAGTTTAGTGATACACGTCTTACTAAATAACCCATAGGGGGAGGGAGAAGATGCAGATTCATATGTTTCCCAAGGATTTGCTCGCAAATGAAAATAATGAATCCAACTGGAATTGGAACTCAACTCTCTGATTAACAATTCTGAGCCATTATCCATTGCACCACCTGCACATCTAAGTTTACAGCACCTGCTATTCCCATGTAGTCACCCACCTAGGTACTGACCAAGCTCGATGTTGCTTAACTTCAGTGATCATATGGGAACCAATGTTTTACAGCCTTGATGAGCACCCAATCAGAAACATGACTATATATTCTCTTGTGTCGTTAGTTAGTTGGCAATGAGTGCTGCATCATATCATTGACTAAGTGAATAGATTTAATATGTCTTCTGGAGGGGATTTAATTTAATTTCTTGTTACTTCTGCCCTTACCCACCTCAAAAAAAAAAAAAAAAAAAAAAAAAAAAAAAAAAGCTGAAATGTCAGGGTTAAGATAATAAAAAGAAAATAAGCCAACTGATGGCAATCCGGAAAAAGAACTGAAAGATATGTGTGAAGTTCTAATGGAAGCAACAAAAGTAAAAATGCTACTAGGGAGGGTTTTTTTGTGCGTGTGTGCGTTAATATTAATTATGACCATGTAAGTCCTGGACAGACTTAACTCATAAATGATATTTAAATCATTTACAAGTAGAGGTCAGTGCTGAATATATTTTGACCTGACCAAGAAGGGAATAAAAAAGATGTCTAATCAGATTTTTGGAAGTTGGCTAAGCTGAGAACTTTTCAGTATCCTCTTATGGTTAAAGATTGACAAATTAAGAAGTTGGGAACTTTTAATGTCACATAAAAATTCAAATTTTCAATCATTTACCTTCATCTGGCGGGATTCCAGCCCATTCTAGTGTATCTTGTAACTTTTCTAAAGCCTCTGGAACAATCCGAGTCTGAAGAGAGAAAGAGAAGTGTTTAATCAATTTTGGATTATGATATCAAAGAAGAGATAGATAAATGCTATACTTTGATGACTCCTCCACCCCAAAATTTATATTTACTTTTCTAAATTTTTCTTAGAAATTTCTTTCCAATATTTGGATGCGTCTTCCTAGCTGCAGTGTCTTGTAAGCTGGAAAAGACAGTAGTTCTGTTTGGGCAAGTTTTGATTGACTGTAAATAAATGATTCTATTTAGTACAAGTAATTGCATATATATATATATATATATGAAAATTTCCCAGAGTTAACCTGTAGAAAAGACAATATTTATAAATATAAATGACAATAGGAAAACTGAAGTTATTGCTGACGCGTTTCGTCCAATGTGGACTTTCTCAAAGCAAAAAACGGAATGAATTTAAATTAAAGAAATTAACTAATAATAACAAAAAACAGAATGTTCTTAGCAGCTGGAGGAATGTAGAGAACGCTATTTTCATATTGTTAACTGAAAATAACGTCAATTATTGTCACGTGTGGAGAATTACTGCTCTCCCAAACAAACGTACACAACATCATAAAATGAAAAGAAAATGATTGAATCCGCCAACACAGCTATAATGACAATATTCTCCACACACTAATCAAGTACTGCGATTAAATTCTTAAATTCTAAGTAGCAAATATTTAGAAAAGGTAAAGTGAAGCTATGGGTTAATTGGTTGCAAACAAAAAACGAATGAAATAAGATTCTAATTAGAATCCAATGACCAATAAAAAGACGTAATATTTGTAAAAATAAAAATTAGGCGATTGGATTTACCTCCCCTGGATTTGAAAAAAAAAAAAAAATAAAATAAAAAAAATTATATCCGAAATAAACGATAGCCTAAAGAAAGGGGAAAAAAACGAAAGCCAAAAAAAAGAAAAACAAGGGAAAAAAAAGAAAAAAGGAAAAAAAACAAGGAAAAAAAAAGGAAAAGAAAAGAAGAGAAAAAACAAGAAAAGAAAAAGAAAAAACAAGAAAAACAAGAGAAAAGAGAAAAGAAAAGAAAAAAAGAGAAAAGAGAAAAAAGAAAAAAAATGAAGGAAAGAGAAAGAAAAAAGAGAAGAAAAAGAGAAAACAAGAAAAGAAAAGAAAAACAAGAAAAAACAAGAAAAGAGAAAAGAAAAAAAAAAATCACGGAAATTTAAATTTCTGAGATAACAGAGTCAAAATAAACTCAAAACATATTTGTTTATATTTCAGGGTACATTTTGCCTCCATGATTTGCATTACGAGAGAACTTATAATTTTCTATGCGGCGACAAAAAGGCACAGGAACACTGATCATGATATGAAGAGAAATTAAAAAAGAAAAAAAAAAAGCGAACAAGTTTTTGAAATGCGAAATTTATTTCTGACGTTGAAAGCGAAGATGTCCAAAAAAAAAAAAAAAAAAATAAATAAAAAATACATTTTAATTTGGCACCTCCACTAATTAGGTATACGTAAGGTTTAAAATGAATTTTTAAAAAAATGTAAAAGCTGTCTTGAAGCTTTCATAGCTTTAGTTTAATTAAAAAGATAATTTAAAATTTACTATTTCCAGCAAGCAAAATACTCTGTAGTATATTTCGAACAGAAATTAATTGATAAGAACATATTTTCTTTCAATAACATTGATCAAAAAAAAAAAAAAAAACCGGCCATTTTTGACATTTAAAATGCTCGGTTTTAAAAATCTTGCAAAAATAAAATACATGTTCCTGAAACGTTATTTATGGAAAATTCGCAAATTAAAAGTTAAATTAATCTAATTCGAAACAAATGTTACTTATAGCATAAAATGTTATAAAAACATTTAACTATATGGGATCTTGTTTTTCTGACGTGTTAATCGATTTATTGACAATCAACCTACAGCCGATAGTATTCAAAGTATGGTGGAGCAGACGATAAAGTTATTTTTTCCGCCGTAAGGAGTGGGTGGCAAACCTTAAAAAAAAAAAACACATGACCTTTTAATGTTAAATGTGTCGGCTTGTACATCCATACTTCAAAAATTCTGCATGTAATCACATACAAAAACAAATCGAAATCCTTTTAAAAATATTTGGGGGTCATACTTTACAATATATGATTAGTAAATATAGTTTTTTTTACTTAATATTTCCTAAGAATTATCACATTGAAAGAATTTTTAAAATTTGAAACCTTTATAAATTATTCAATTTAAAATTGCAAAAAAATCTTGTAATAATTCATTTTTCGTCAAAAAGATTTTTTTCAGGCAATATTGTCTTTATTATTCATAAAAGCAATTAAAAGCTTCTTTAATTAAATAATATTTTCGTTTTAATGCGTTTTTTTTTAAATTTTTTTCGATTCAGAACAGATTTTCGGTAAGACCGGGTCCGATTTATATTAAAAAAAAAAAAAAATCGCTGATTTAAATTCAAGGAATTCTGCTTTTTAACTAATATGGTCACTAGAAATTCTGTTGGATTACTCAAGTTTTCATAAAATTAAATAAAGGGTTGAAACGCATGTAAAAAAATAAATTTTTAAATATATTTTTTATTAAGATTCTCTAAAAAAATAAAAAGATAATTTAATTCAAAATTCATTATTAAAATCTGACAATTATTTGATTTTTGTAACAATTTCCAAATTAATGTGACACCAGTGAAAATGACAGAACCAAAAGTGATGCTCAAGGCCTGGAATTACCATGAGAAACTTCACAATAAAAATTAGAAAGAGAGAATTCAGAATTACTTCCTTTTTTTTAATGTTTACTAGAAAATGACCGAAAAACTTTCATTTTTCCATTATCAAGCATGTCTTAAAATTAAAAGACAAACTAAACACAAGATGAACGGCAACCAGATGAATTTCAAAATCGCACTGAAAAATTAAAACTGATTTAAAGAAAAAAAAAATCAAGCAAGTGTAATTTTTGTTTTTACTGAATTTGTGCGTAAAAAAAAAAAAAAAAAAAATGAGCATCCCCACCCCAATTAAAAAGTACACACGAGATAGAAGTTAGGTAAAAAAACTCCCCCTCCAATATTTCTACATTGTTTTTTAATAAAAATAACCGATTTACAATTCATTCATTAATGAACACGTAATGAAAACTGTTTGAATCAAATAATTCCCTGAATTTTGGAAAATATTTTAAAGAGGGGGGGTGCAAGTGTTTTTTTAGCTTCGGAAAAAAAACAGCACCCCATCCATTTTGGGGTGGTACATAAAAATCAATGTTATTAATTTGGAAGACAATTTTTCTTCTAGTACTAACCCCTACAAGTTTAAAAATTGAATTATATGATGAATACAATACCCCATAATCATGAAATCTTCAAGAATTGGCTTTTTAAATGTAGTTTAAATTTATCCTGTGTAGTCTATATTCCAGGAAATCTTCTCCAAAGTCCACAACCATTTTCTTCCTTTTTTATTTATGTCATCATCAAGGTGTGAATTTTAGTCCAAAGTTTACAAACATCTTCACGAAAAACTGAATCCGAACCAAAACTAAAAACTGATAAATTATTATAGTCTATTTGTGGGCAATTTGTCTTATTGTTGGAAAAACATTAGCAGCAAAAACATGATTCAGGACAATTTTGATGTCAATTCGGTTTATTTTTAGAGGGTGCTGAATTTTCGTTCAGTTAAAAAAAAGAAAATTGTTTGGTCCCATCCCATATTATATCTGCACAAGTTTTCAATTTTCTTTCAGGAATTTTACATTTTTAAACTTTTTTTTTTTTTGAAAAAGTTATTTTTGTAGATTTTTCGGAAGTTGCAAACATTCTAAATTTCATAATCCTAAGAAACCTCAAATTATACATAATTTTATTAATTTATGTTCTTTAATTAAAAATAAATATATCTGTTTGTTCTTTATTAAAAAAAAAAGAAAAAAAAAAGAAATGTTTTTGTATTTGCCTTCAAAAAAGTCTTTTTCGTAACGCAAAACAGTTAAGTCCAATAACTCTGTAAAAGACAGACGATCGATTTCTTGACACTGACAGCACGAGTACACTAAATAGGACCTTACTTTTTTGAATCAATATTTTTCCGAGTTTGACAAGTGTCGCGGAAGTGTTGGAAGGTTAAAAATTTTAATCTACAAAAAAATAAAAATAAAAAATAAAGATAAGAAAAAATAAATAAAATAATTTCCTTTAAAAAAAAAAAAAAAAAAAAAAAAAAAAAAGTTCCCTATTTTTTTTTAAGGTGGACAGTGGACTAGTCACTAGTAATTAACTGAAGTAGCACCGAAAAAAATGCATGCAACTAATTTCAAATTGAGATATTTAAAATATACTGAAGCAGAAATTATTAAAACTGTCACGTTTCTTAGAGAATTAACCATTTTTTCTTCTTACCCGGTCAGTGTCTTCAATTCGGAGTATAAACGAACCACCATGCGACTTTGCAAATAAATAATTATAAAGAGCAGATCGCAAACTACCAAGATGAAGAAATCCGGTGGGACTAGGAGCAAAGCGCACCCTAACATTTCCGGACGAGGTGTGAAGACCCTGGCATTTCCTCGATAAAAGGTAAGCACTACACGCCCGAAACACTGAAGGATAAAAACCTAATCGGCCACCTCCGCCGCCTTTAACAAGCAACAAACAAACTACCATGCTGAGGCAGTTGCCAATGTCACGTGACTAAAACAAACCTCTTCTCCCGACTGTCGTAATCTAGCAGTAACCACACTCATATATTTTTAAACAATAATATTTAAATTAATTAAATAATAAGAACTAATGGAGATTTACCTTTATAGTACTTAATAATGGGTCTGTGAATGATTTGCGTTTATTTGAGAAAGCTCTTGCCTTTAATAAATTATACGACTGCCGAAAACCAATTCTTTAGAGGTCACACACTTTCTTCATGTGGTGTTATCAGTTCAGTTTGGATGCTTTTTTCGTTTCACCATGGTAAATTTTTCCTTTTTTTAACTTATAACTTTAATGATTTTTATTTTGTTAGTTTATTAATATTTTATATGGATTTTATAGCAAGTATCTCAAATTCAAAACTTGTGTTATGATTGTTTTTAACTTAAATAATAATAACCTAACTGCGTAACTAAAACTAAAACAGTAAAAAAAAAAAACAATACACAGGTGTTTTATTTCATCATTAAAACTACGATGGTATTTAATTTTATTATATATATATGAATATATACATACATACATACACACATATATATATGAGATTTCATTTTTTTTTTTTTTTTTTTTTACGTAAATAAATTTCAAACTTAAAAAAGATTATAAGGAAAAACAAAAATGCATTTTTTTTTTGTTTTAAATAATTAAAAAATGTCATCTTTGAAGTTAAATTTTAGTTTTATTTGACTTTGAGAGAGGCTAAAAACCTAATTCGGATGAAAAAAAAAAATCTAAGTAAAAGTTTTAGACATTTTTTTTTTAATTCGTTACACATCGAATCGCCATTATAAACGAAAAATTAAAACAAATTTAAAAATCTCTTGAAAATTTAATATTTGTTTTCTAGAGATGTTTCACCGTAAATTAGTAACTCTAAGGATTAATTACCTGGATTGTTGTAAAGTAAAGAGAATACTTTTGGTTGTTAAGTTGCAACGAAATTACTGTTTTTTACGCACAATTCAGGATCGGTCATAGGTCACGATCAATAGTCTTCTACTGTCACCCCCCAAAACGTGCGTAGTCTTCTCTGTCATCCAAAAGTACACTCAAAACTTTTAAAAGAATGAAGGATCGAAAGTATTACAGTTTTTTTTTTTTTTTTAGAAAATTGTATTGTTTATTACAAATAAATTATCTTTAACCTCCTTACCTTACCTTATATAAACAATAGTTTATGTATTTTTTTGTACACGCTTTAAACTTAATGAATTTTATTATTTATAATAGATTTAGAATTGTAAAAAAGAAATTAAAAAATATAGTTAAACTATCTTAAAAGCTGCTCTATAGGGCTGCATTTAAAAGGCTAAGCTAGTTCCTGTTGACTTTTTTGTTTGATTTAGGTTAGGCCTTCATCACAATAGGTAGGAAGGAGTAGATGCGATAGTCAACAATAAACTACAGAAGAACTCAAGTCATTGATCGCTGCATTTAATAGTTAAAAGCTGATCTTTTAAAAGTTCAATGATAATTTTTCTGCGGCCACTTTGATAATTTTATGTACATAGATACTTACTTTCCGTACACAACAATTATTTTATTTTTATGGGTGACTTTCGCTGGATTTCACAATTAATTTTGATTATTCCCAAATTTATTTCCAAGTTATGAAAAATTGAAAATTATTATCATACAAAAAAATTTGTCACAAAGAATTCACGTACAAAAATCACCGAAAACAATTGCAGTAATGAAAACTTGGGAATCCAAAATTTCAGGATTGCAGGCCTGGATCCGACCCAGAATGTTTTTTAATTTGCTCAAGGAGTCGGCCTGATTCCAAAATGATATATTGGGCTACGGCCAAGTGACACATTGACATTTGCATTTACTTTTCAGTTTTTAATTTGTTGTTTTTTTTTTTTTTTTTTTTTAATTATTTTTCTACAATACATGTTTGATATCATAAAATATTTAATTGCTCTTAGTCTTACTCTTAATGAAGCCTTTTTTAATTATTCTGATTTTAAAACTAAAGGAAGTCCTTTAAAAAAAGGTGGGGATTAATAAAGACTTAGTTATTGTATTGATATTTGATACAGTTTAATTGATTGTAGACCTGAAATGGGTAACATTAAGTTGTTCCATACTTATTTCACCTGTGAGGATAAACAAACAAACAAACTGGCTATTTTTCACTACTTTTAATCTCCCATTTATTTGCCTTCTGGACACCGGAATGGGTCAACGTTCTCACTTACCTAAATGTCAGGAATGGTTTGTTTTATATTTTAGTTTTTGGCCAAAATATGCAGAAGAAATATTACAAAGTGAAAAATTTATTCATTAAAATAATACAAAACTGAGTATAAAATATATACTTGATGAAACAAATTATAATCAATAGTGCTAAGGTACCCTTGAAAACATTCCATTTAAGCAGGATAAGTTAAGTAAATGATATCTAGAAAAAACTTCTGTATATATTTTTGAGATGAGTTATTGTTACTATTTACATTGTTTGGACTGTTGTCCTCATCTTTGTCTTGGACACATGACCCATTGGATAAAAAGGCATTGGTTGATGTAATCCAGTGACTTGAGTTGTGAGTTCAATACCTGGTTACAGCAGAGAAGATCAAAAACATGGAGAGTTGAGTTACTAAAGGGAAATAACTGAGATATCCAGGAAAGGTATGGAACATGGAACCAGAACATTCTACCCCAGTAGATGAAATAAAGTGTTTGATTCGAAATTCCAACATATATCACCTGAAGAAGGCTGGAACGTACAATGGCTGAAACGTCATGAATATGACGATAAAGATGAGGACAACAGTCTGAACAATGTAAATAGAAAAAAATTTATTTCACTATGTTTATCCTGTGAGGAAAGTAATTCTCGTCTGTTTATTCATTCCAGGCCAGTAACTTAATTTTGGCTGGACTGGGGTTGACTATTGTTGGCTTTGCAGGTAAGTTAATTTTTTCCTAATTTTTATAAAACTAATGAAATGAGTTACAGAAGTATTTTCACTATTAATGTACAAAATAAATATGTATAAATATAGTACTGTACATTTCACTCTTACAATATAGCAATAGTTTTATGAATTTTACTAGATTTTCCAAGTTTCACATTATGACGTTGTCATATTTTATTCCTTAAAATTGTTCAAAATGTCATTTTATTATGTGAAATCATTTGAAGTTTTCAATGTTCACATCAAACTTTTTTTATGGGAGGTAAATATTAAAAGAATTTATTTTATGAAAGAAACTTCTGAGCTTTGGGTCATTTATATAAGACTTTAAAGAACTTTTTGATGTGGTCAGATGACCTTACAAGTGGAGGTCTTTCATCCATTTATTTGTATTCATTGGTTGGTACCAAAATTAAGCCAGTTGGCTGGTAAAGTGAGTTCTAGAAATCTGCTTCAGAGCAGTCTGTTTATTACCATTTGCTGACCTGAAATGTTAACTATAGCACCAAAACCCAGCAACTCTCAACTGAAGTTATTTTGAAGAATTTCTAACTTCTTGCTAGTAAGCATTTTTTTTTTTTATCCACTGATCAAATCACTAAAATTATAATGAATCCTTTCTTTTTTTTTTGTTTACTATAAAACTTTTCTGGTTTCCTGCCATTCCAGTTGCTTTTCTTTGTCTTAATTCTTTTGTTGCACACATAACATGACAACATAAACATGAAACCACAAGAAACATTGTTGTAATGAAAAACTATAATTACAGAATAATATTATTGGACGATAGTTTTATTGTATTAAAGTACTGATTTGTGAATTTGGTGACATTAATTGCGAGTTCAATCTCTGGGCTGGGCAGTGCATTAGTTGATTGATTTGTTTTCTGTGGCTTATCAACCCTTTGCAGGTTTTATTTAAAGCCTGGAAAATTGTTATCCATTACACCACCTGCACATCCAAGCTTGCAGCACTTGGTATTTCCAAGTGGTCAACCATCTAAGTACTGACCAGGCTCGACATTACTTAATTTCAGTGTTTATATGAGAATCTGTGTTTGAACATGATATGGCCATAAGTCTGTTGCACATTTGAAGAAAACTGACAAAAAAAATCACATGACCTCAATTTGACAAAGTTCAGAACTGGATAAACAATAATTTTATGTATGAAAGATTTCATCACATATTCTTATCAGTTGTTATTGATCTAACATTATGTAGTGATATGTAAATGACTGTCTAATTAGCATAGGTTAGGCATAGAGATTATATAAGTGCCCAAGCAGTAAGGGGAGGGCGCAGAATATGATATGCAAGATTAATGACTGGACTGAGAAAATATGAAAGAAATCACATTTCATAACACTTTATTTTTATAGTTCTAGATTTATTCTGAAATACTCCAAAGAATATAACTTGAATTTTTTGAGAAGAGCTGAGTTCAAATTCCAGTTGAGTTCATTACGTTCATTTATGAGCAAGTACCCTTAAGAAAGGTATGAAGCCATCTCTTCCTATAGCCTTGGGTGGCAGCTGGTCTAGGAGAAGGATAACTCTGAAATCACAACCTCTATGGGTTAAATAGCCTTACCAAGACACAATTGGCCAAATGTGGTGAGTGCAGCTACATCCATGAAAGCATAGTCAATCAGGGAAGGGTTCCTTTAACAGGAGTGAGAAGGCCCTGTATTTGGTTCTGGTATGCTTTTGGGTGGTCTTGGCAGAGGCTTGGATCATTTATATAAAGATTTTGCTTTTACTAACACCTGATGGTAAAGAGTAGGTAGAAAAATTGTCTCCAAGTTCTTTAATAAATTTCCTATTCTCTTTATGTAGTGATATGTAAATGACTGCCTAATTAGCATAGCTGAGGCATAGAGACTATATAAGTGCCCAAGCAGTTAAGGGAGGGAAGAATATGATATACAAGATTAATGACTGGACTGAGAAAATATGAAGGAAATCACATTTCATAACATGTTACCTATTGATTGCTGGTTGTTGCAATGTACAATGATACTCATTAAACAAACTGAAATTTTGAATAATGACTCTGATTGGGGTTAACAGCTTATAGCACAATTAGCGGTTGCATTCTTATTTCTGTTTTATTACTGAGTAATATATTTTTGTTTAAAAATGAATGTGGGCTGAAAGCTGTGGATAATGACTTTTCCTAATGAAGCTGACAATAAAAGGGAACTCAAATTCAGTAAAAATAGAACCGCTTTACCCGCTGGTCAGTCAACACAGGTGTGTATGCTAAAAGGGAGTACCCTATATGACACACTTTATTTTTTTCATTACCTAAATTTAAGAAAAGCCTTCCTGTTTCACCGTAGCATGGAGTATATGAGTAAAGCAGAACCATTTCTTCAACTGTTTTTGTGATTTTTCAATGACACGGTCACATTTTGATGATCACACCCACTTTTTCTGCATCAGATTACAGGGGTGATCCAAGAAGGTATATCTCAAACCTAAGCAGCTGATGGTCCCAAGCACAGCATTACATGTTGTAAGTAAAATTTAGATATAGAAAAGTTCTTAGATACAGCTATTTTCACAAGAGCAACAAGTTATTAACACAGTGTATGAGATTAGCTGGGAATGCTTGACAATCTCTGCACAGATGAAGAAACTTGAAGCATCAGAAATGTTGTTCTACAAAAGGATGCTGAAGATAATCATGGACATGTGAGCAACAACAGAGAAAACAGAAACGAAAAGGACCCTTGACATCAGGAAGAGACAGTTGAAATTTCTGGGATACATAATGAGGAAAGAGAGCTTAGAAAATTAGATACTCACAGGAAAGATTGAAGGAAAGTGGGACAGAAGAAAACCAAGAATAACCTACATATGTGAGCTTGAGTAAATGGATGGCAGAAAAAGGTTTAGGAGAGATAACAAAAAGACAAAATTTATTAAGAGCTACAAAGGAAAGGAAATTGTGGAGAGCCATGATTGTCAATGTTCTGAAGGGGCATAGAAGAAGAGGTTAGTATTTTGCTTTTTTCTGTCTTTTGAAAATAGAATGGCAAAGTTTCGTCGTAATTCTATATTTTTGGGCATATGAAATCTAAGACTTGATATTTCAGGCCACAATAAAAAAAATTTAATATCTTTATTTTGTATTAGATTTCTACTCTAAAAAAAAAAAAAAACTCAAAATTCTTCAATTATATATAAATAAAATAACCAAATGTCCATTTTCTTAGACTTATGGCAATGTTATATTGAAACACCAGTTCTTGTAGGATAATAAGTTAAGCAACATATGGGTAACTGCTTTGAAATACCAAGTGCTGTAAGCTTAGATGCGCAGAAAGTTTTTCTCTTTAATCTTAGCATTTGAATTTCCATTGAGTTTCATAAAAGGGATAAAAATTTAATCCAGTTGCTTTGGTGTGAAGAACTGACCCTATCAAACATTGGTGTTGACTTGCAACCAAATTGTGGCTAAAGTAGTTGTGCCTGTACTATTCTTGGGTGCCTGCCTCTTTTGTTGTCTTCCACAAGGAGCTTGAGCTTTTGTCAGTAACCAACTCTTCCCCACTCACAGGTCAGGTGTCTATATAACTTTTTGTCATCTGATTATCTTGTTTGTGTATATCCTGTTCAGGTGAGTTAGCTTCCTGTCTATATGTTGGTGCAACCATTGATATTTATAAGATAATCTTTTGATATTCAAATGTGACACTGAGTACAAAACTTACTTTAGCCCAGTGGCAATGACCCATCATAATGTAGATTCGTTTATGAGAAGAACTTTTTAATTCTAACGGATTTATGATCTTTCTGATTAATATCAACACTTGTAGGCAAATGTATTTTGTATTAATTAAAAAAACAAAACAATTCTTATCTTTACAGGACGTTATGCCGTTCGTTATGGGAAAGTTGCTGGAGATGCTCTCAAAAAACAGATGGATTCCTTGCCATCGCCTGCAGTAAGTATTCCCACTTTCTGATAACATAACATAAATCATGTTTTTAGGCAATTTTGTCCAGTACCCTTTTTAGTAAATGGGTTCCCATGTGACTGATTAGACCAACACAAGAATGTCATGCATTCTTCAATTAAGGTATCAGAAAAAAACTTAGGATGGTGGACATGGAAGGATTCTGTGTATGATGTCTTTGACAGTATTCCTCTACCTGCTGGACCAAACTTGCTTCTGTAGTTTGAACACTGTCAATACAGACACATCATCAAGTGGCTTGAAAATATCACAAGTTTTTGGGATGACCTCGATGTGGTCCCTTTATTGCCTGTAATAATCACTGACAACCCCCTTTCACTTGGCACTAGTTTTCCAAAGAAATGCAGGAGTCAGTTTTCAGGCATGTAGGTGAAGTAGTCAACTCTATGTAGCTGTTGATTGACAAGCGCAAACTTGACATTCATTAGCCATGAATTCTTCAAAGTTTTTGATGTGCAGTATCTTATCTCAACAATGTAACCTTCTTATGGCCCTATTGTGTTGAAATACTAGTTCTCATACGATCACCTAAGTTAAACAACATTGAGCCTGGTCAGTACCTAAATGGGTGACCATTTGGGAATACAAGGTTCTGTAAGCTTAGTTGGACAACTGGCATAATGGGCTTATGGCCATGTTATGTTGAAATATCGGTTCCTGTATGATCACTGATGTTAAACAACATTAAGGCTGGTCAGTACCTCGATGGGTGACCACTTGAGAAAATCAGGTTCTGTAAGCTTGGATGTGCTGGATAATGCCTTGGAATTGTGAATCAGAGCTGAGCTCCAATTCCTGTTGGGTTTGTTATATTCACTTACATGCTTGAGAAATTATGAATCCACCAGTTTTTCACTCCTAGCTATGGGTTAATTAGTAAAACTTGTATCACTAAATCATTATTTCCCCATCCAAAATTCTTAGAATCTAAAAATATTTTTTGGCTCTAAATAACCTGCAATGGGTTGATAATACATAGAAAACCAACCAATCAATCAATAAACAAAACAAAAAAACAATGTAACCAGAGAATTCTTTGTCGGCAAGACATATGGGTTGTTGCAGTATTAATCCTAGTTGGACTAAAAGCAGTGGCAAACAAAATTTACATATGTAAATGATGAGACATCAGTGTTAGTAGAGATGAAAGAAAATGGTTTCAACAAGGTGATATTTTTATGTATTTTTTTTTTTAATATTTCTAATAACTGATTAATAAAGGGGAGAAAATACCATAATGTGCATGTAAATATAGCTGACAAGATAACAAGACTTTAAAAGTTAACTATTAAGAATTGTGTGTGAAAGAATTTAGTCACTCTGGAGAAAGATATCCCCATGCTGGGAACAAGTTCCATGCTGGTATTTCTAAATGGAAAAGAGAAAAAAAGGGTAAGTGTACTGTTTTTATAGCTGTTTAACAGCCCCACTTGATGAACCTGGCAAAACCAAGGGGAGATAACTCACAAAATCCTGTCCGTATCTTATGCTACCTGAGAGAATGATCTGAAACTGCTTTTTTTTGTTGTTTTCTCTCTGAAAACTTTATTCTTTAAAGTACTTTTTATTATTATTATTTATTAACTGATGGAAATATATTTATTTATCCACCTTTTTTAAATATGATATCCCTTCAGGACATAGGTGACCGTTGTCATTTACAGTTTCCATTTTTTTTTATTATTTGTGGACTGCGATGATTTCATTAGAAAGATAGTGGAGTAGTTTCCTGTTGCCTTCTCTCCAGATACCTTTTCTTTATTATCTGTGAACTGCCGTGACTTCTTGGGAAAGATAGTGTCATGTTTTCCTGTTGCCTTCTCTGTGGTCTTGTATTCAGAGTAGTCTTTTTCTTAGAGGGGTTATCACTCAAATCTATGCAAACAAGTCTACCTTACTATTTTACTTGTGGGGAGAAGACATGGCACTAGTGTGAATGTAAGTGGATTAGGTCAGAATTTCATTTATGTTAATCACACTTTAACTATGTTGACTAACAAATTTGGGTAAAAATTCAATTAAGCTAAAATGAATATTTAGCTTATAAAAATGTCTTCATCCAATTCAGTTTCTTTTTGAAAATGATCTTTATTGCTTTTGGACCCTGTTCATTTTTGAGAAAATCAAAGTTTAAAAGTGCAAATGAGAAAAGTAGCTTTGAAGTGGGGACTACAATTTACAATGGATATGTAATGATAAACTGGGCCTTTGCAACATTGTGAGCTAGAATGTTCAATTTCCAATGTAAATTGTTAAAAAACTAGACACTGATTTTTGTCTACATCTTTAAGCAAATGGGTGCATAATTTTGAAGTATGGAACCCCAAAAAGAAAAAAAACAAAAATTTTATCAAGTTCCCATTATTTAATCTTGGAGTGCAGAGATTGTTCTTGTTCTACCGTTCACGTATAGAGACATTTCATCATGTTTCTTTTTAGTACTGCTCAGTTATTGCTAGTCATATTTACACTGAGTTTAAGTTTTTATTATCCGAGCCAGGGATTGAGCTTAAAATGCTACCAAATTCACAATTGACTTTAAATTATTTTTGCAAAATTAACCTTTTTAAAAGAGTTCAATTTATAATGTAAGTATAATACTAAACTGAACCCATTTTCTGTATCCATTTATATCCAATAATGGATCTTTTCCTTTAGTCCATAACATCCATAATATGGAAACTTGAAATGATCAGAAAAGTTAAATTTGTTTGTGCTAATATAGTATGATATCTACTGAGACATTTGCAACCTAACATAAATGATGATGCACTCATTATTGCTAGAAAATGCTCAGGAAAAACAATGACTTTTTTTCTTTTCTTCTTCTTCTTTTTTTTTTTTTTTAATGACATCAAATCAGTTTACAAACATTAAAATCACTATTTATTTTTTTTGTATAAGAAATTGTTAATGATTTTTAATACATAACCAGTTCACTGTTCACTGCCTTTAACCCTAACCCCAACTCCTACCCCTAACCTTGACATATTTCATACTTCCAACATTTGGTAAATATCATACCCTAGTAGAAAATGAATACTAGATATCTTGCTATAGTAGCAACAATTTGTTTTTCTCTGCAATGAAGAACTCTGTTCATGCTGTTACAAAAACCTTAACTTCCAAACACACAGGTTGATAAAGATTTTGGTACGAGGTTTTAAAGAGAATGGAAACAAAAAGGAAATTTATACGTAACATCAGCAAGAGAGAGTTGAAATTTCTAAGGCAAATAACGAGGGAAGAGGGCTTGGAAAATCAGATACTCAGAGGGCAGATTGAAGGCAAGAGGAGGAAGAGGAAAACAATGCATAAACTATTTAATGAGCTTGAGTAAATGGATAATAGAAGAAGGTTTAGGAGAAATAACTAAAAGACAGAATTTATTAAGAGCTACAAAGGACAGGAAATTGTGGAGATCCATGATTGCTTATGTCCAGAAGGGACACAGCACAGAGAAGAAGTATAAAGGGAGATAATCAATCCAATGTGGATTAGGTTCATGTCACGTTGAAACACCACCAGTTCTCGTACAATCACCAAAGTTAAGAAGCATTGAGCCTGGTCAGTATCTAAATGGGTGACCGCTTGGAGATACCAGGTACTGTAAGCTTGTATAAGTAATTGATGTAATGGATAACGTCTCTAAATTGGAAATCAGATCTGAGTTCCAATTCCAGTTAGGTTCATTAAATTCACTTACACATTGGGAAAGGTATGCTCTTCTACCCCCCAGTTAAGGGTTAATTAGTAGAACATATCAGTAAAAAAATTTCCAAAAAGATTCTTACAATCTAAAAATATTTTCTGACTTTAAATAAACTGAAAAGAGTTGATAAGCCATAAAAAACAAATCACTCAATCAATCCACTGTACTTAATACAGATTTACTTTAAATGTTGAATATATTTTATGATAAGCTTGGCACAAGACTGCAGTAATGGGGCACATAGTTAGGATTGAACTCATTAGATTGTTGATTTGTTTTGAAAAAGAATCTTACTATTAATGATACTCTGGAAGGTGAGTGTCTAATTATTTTATTCAAGTTTAAGCTAGCCAACATTGTTCTATGTAAATATGCCAAATTGTAAGTAACCGACATTAAAGATGTGTAAATGTTTTCATTTTAAATTCAAGATTTTACTCAGTAAATGGAGCAAGTATGAAAATTTAAATATCTGGTAAGCATTCTAACAGAGGACAGAAAATGTGACATCAGAATCTAAAGGCACATTGGAATATGGAAAGATGCCTTCCAAAAACTAAGCAATGTATTAAGAAACAGGAAAATTTTGTTAGAAACTAAGAAAAGAGTACTAAACTATTATTTAATATCAGTTCTCCTCTACAGCAGTGAATGTTGGAAAACCTCTTTGTAGATGAAGAGATTTGTGGTAACAGATGTGGTTCTACAGAAAGATGCTGAGAATGCCATGGATTGAACATATGATTAAGAAGGAATTTTTCAGGGAGAGAGAAATAAAAAGGAGGATTATAGTTAACAAGAAAGAGACATTTGAAATTTCTAGGATACATAATGAAGAAAGAAGTCCTGGAGAATCCAACACAGGGCACTGAAAGCAGAGGTGGGACAGACGAAAGCTGCAGGTAATTTACCTAACAAGCTTGTAAAAAGGATAGCAGAATAAGTGGTGGGAGAGGTATTAAAAAGATAAAGGTTTCTAAGAGTTACAAAGGATAGGAAGTTGTGGAGAGTCATGATCTTTTTACAATTATCTAGTAAGCTTTTCAAATCAAAATTTTATTTCTTGTTTTCATATTTCAGTCATTTGCCAATAGCAAATATTACAAAGGTGGTTTTGAGCCGAAAATGTCAAAGAGGGAGGCAGGCCTAATTTTAGGAGTCAGGTAAGTAACATTTTTCACTAAGACGAGATGTGACACGGTCGAATTTAGTGTGGGGAACTTGAGCACGTACACTCGGGCCAAAGGTCAAAATTTACCCAGTCCCCGCAGTATGTGATTGAGCACTTTGCATTGTCTATTCTCCTCAGCCAAATCTCCATCTGTGGACAGAGGCCTGAGTCTCACTCTGCCTGAAGACAGTTTGAAAATCACAAGCCAGGCAGTGGACTAGAAGGGATCATTGTTTATGCTTACAAACTTTGAATAAGTTTTATATTATTTTGGTCATACAGGTTCAGTAGGTGCCATCATAGACATCTGAAAACGAGGTGATATATGTTGATATAAATGCCTGAATCTGCTACTTTTATTGAAATAATTGTCCAATTTCCAAAACCAGAAATTTTGTCTTTTTCCTACCTGTAGAAATCAAATTCTGGCATGTAATCAAACTACACCTTGATTTTAAAAATCTACCAAAATCAGTAAATTATTGCATTTCAATAAAACATTTGACAGTTATGCACATGTGAATCACTCACTCACTCACTCTCTCTCTCTCTCTATATATATATATATATATATATATATATATATATATATATATATAAAGTTGTAGTCTCTGTCTGCTATCAAACTCCTCCTAGGGTTTTGGAGATAGACCCCCCCCACACACACACACACTCTAACCATATAGAGTAAAACCTCGAATTAGTGGTTCCAGAA